TTTGGAAATGCAGGGGGGCATGCGCAGATTGGCTCAGGTGGCAAACTACAGGCAGACTGAGCACAATAACCTTTTCTTCTCTTCTCATTTTCAACCTTAAGGCCAAACTACACCAGGGGTGGGGAGCCTCAGACCTGGGGGCTGAATGCGGACCTCCAGTCCTCAAGACTCCCCAGGCAATTCCCTATCCACAGACCCCACTCCTTCTTCTCTGGCCCCATCCTCTCCTCCTCCCTGCTATGGGGGCCTGCAATGGCGCCCACCTAAGAGGTGCCGGAACTGCTTTCCGGTGCATTCCTGCTGAAAAGAAGCCCTGCTTCTACCAGCCCTACTCTGCACCCTTCCTTGAGTGCTTTTGCCTGGCTGGAATGTGTCCTTGAACTGTGGCAATGCCTCTTGCATGTCTGGAGGGAGAGATGTGCAGGTAGAAACCTCCCGCCTTGGCATGGCTGGAATGTAGCCTGCTGTACAAAAGCCAGGGCTCATAAGCATTTCCATTTGTGGCGCGATTTCCAGGCATGGGCGCAAGAGGTTTTCCTTTTTCATCCGCCACTTTCCGTGCAGAAAACCCAATCGGCATTTGTTCCGATTCAGCAATAAAGCATGGGATTTCCCAGGGAAGGCAGTAGGACTGAAGGCAAAGCTTTCACATGGGATGAAGGCATGTGTGGATGAGCCCTAAGGATCATATCTGTTACTCTGCCCACTTTCCCCCTGGTCCCATCTACCACTGGCATCCAGCTCCTGGAAAAAGGTTCGCCACTAAACTACACAGTGTATTAAATATCATCATGTGTTTAACGTACATTTTTTGCAAAGTAGCAGTGCTGGGGGTGGGAGGGTGTTGGTTGAAGAATGGAAATGTGGAACATGGGTGGGTATAGGTCTGCCCCCACCCCATATCAAGGTCCAGATTACAATCCCTCCCATGGAAGGAAATCTGCTATTGTGAGCTACACTGTTCTGATCCTGAACAGGGTGCTTTTTTTTTTTTAAAGGATTGTTTGAGTGTGACCATTGCACATTTAAAGCACTCTTAGGCCACTTTGACACGGTCTTGCCTTTCGCCACAGAATCCTGGGAACTGTTGTTCTTTAAGGGTGCTGGGATCTGTAGCTCTGCAAGGGGTTTCCTAACAACACTCAGCATCCTTAGCAAACTACAGTTCCCATGATTCTTTGGGACAAGCCAAGACTGTGTGGCATATGGGTGCTTTAAATGTATGGTGTGAATAGAGGTATCTCTCCCCATCGGTGGAATGTATTCCCTCAGTGTCCTCTGATATGAAGCAATGTTCTGGGTCTCTGCTTCATTACCCTGGCAGCTGATTTTCACTTTGAGGAAGCCATGGCGCTGCAAACTATTCAACCACAGCAGCAGTATGAGAAATCCTTCCCATTTTAGCAGTCACATCATGAACTACAATGCCCTTGAGCTGCTCCTGCAGATGCATGATGTGGGAACACCCATCATCACATCCTTAATTCTGACACAACCAGTGGGTGTAGTGGAGATCTCATGGATCCAGATTTGCATCAGAAGTCATTTGACATGCACCCTGTCTGTAGGCTTGCACCCACATTTTGTTAAGCTTCCAGAAACAACGCAGCATGTGCTTCTCCAATGTCTCTATAATACATTCATACTAGCCTCATCTTACCATCACTGCATAAGTCCCCAGGGTGCACAGGACAAGTCTATACCTCCCTAATGCTTTCAGATACCAATCCTGCTACAACATACAACGTTGCTGGATTCTGCACAGCAGCACTCAAAATTTGTCAGATGATGACCTGTGCCACAAACTAGATATAATGAGCACTCGTATTAGAGTGCTCTGTAGACTGATGGCTATAGTCTTATATATACTAACTTTTTTATGCTCTTTCACTCTTGTCTAATGTTCCTAACCCTTCTTTTGGACTCTCTTAGCTTCTTCTGGATTTTTATAGACTTTTATATATACTTTCTATTTTAACTTTTCTCTCTTTTTTGAGTTTTTTAAATGATTGTATCCATCCCTCCGTATGCTGGTCTATGACCATAATAAGTAGTAGTAGCAGTAATAGTAGTAGTAGTTGTAGTTGTTAAGCTTCCACTCCAGACCCCCTCCTTGCCCAAAGAGGTCCTCAGTGTTTACTTTTCCTCATATGGGAGTAGAGCTTGCCATCCTGAGCGCACAACCTGTTCAACTCACTGGGACTGAACTTTTGATACAACCTGCTTAGATTCATGGCTGTGATATCTCCCAAGTCAGTTCTCAGAGTGATGGGCATGTCCAGAAACAGGCTGCTTTGAGTGCTACTGCTGAAACACACACACAATGCCATCAGCGCTGGGCATACACAAAGCACTTGTGTGTATGCAAAGAGCCATAAACACTCCCTTTCACACTTGCAGAGTTGGGGAAATGTATAAAAGACTTATTTCTGCCTCCTCCACCTCGCCCACTCCAAGCATTGACATCATACCAATCTCCTACAGAGGCAACGCTGCCCCTGAAATGTGGAACCGTGGCAGACCAGAAGGGAGTGTGAGGAAAAGAACGGGCATAGCATCGTTGAAGCCATTTGTGATTTGTATGTGCGAGTGTGTGCATTTTTATTTTAAGCACCTGGAACCCCTGGAATCTTGCACTGCTCAGAGATTGGGGTGGCATGCAACAATATGGATCTAAAGCCCCACCTTAACAACACCGTCACTGCTGAAGATTAGAATTAGATGCATGGCTGCTGCATGTGAGGTTTGCTCTGCAAAGACAGACTTCCTTTTGTTTCTGAAAGGGTGTCTCCTCTCGGAGGTACATGAGACTGGCAAGCATGGAAGCACTACAAAGTGGCAATTGGAATGGATCTTAGAACTTTTTATACTCCTAAAAATTAATGTCTGAAATTGCTGCTAGCCTGGTAAAGGGGAGAGCCACTGGCATTCAATGAGGCACAAAAACTAGAAATGGCGACTACTCTGACTGCCACTTGGGCTTCTGGGCAGCACCAGAAAAGGATGGAATATCTGGGTAACATTTCAAGCCTACAATGCCTGAGTAACAACAAAGCCTACAGCAAAGATGGCTTCACATGCACTTGAAGTTGGGATCCCCAGAGCAATCAAAGTAGGAGAAACAGCAGCTATGGATCATTTTTCTATAAATAAAAACTGTTGTGCTTGGAATGTGTTTGGAATCCATTCCCATAGGCGTAGGGGCCAGTGCCGGATTTACATATAAGCTAAACAAGCTATAGGTTAGGGCCATACTCTCTTGGGGGACCCCAAAAAATTTAAAGGGGAAAAAAACCTGGATGTACATTTCCAAAATATAAGATAAAAAAACATATAAAATAAAACATACATACAGCAACAGTGTTGTGTGTTGTGTAGGCTCCTATGATGTAAGTAATGGGCCCTGCCTGCTAGCCTGCTCCCTAAAATGTCACTGGTTTGCTCATTTCTATATATAGGGTGCCTACATTCTGCATGTGCAAATGGCTTTAGATACCTATTAGGTCCATAAATTACCACATAGCATATATTCAACACAAAAAACAGTGACAATTTGTTGCTGACAAAGGACAGCTGGACATATAAAGGACCCCATTACCTTCAGTAGCTTAGGGCCTCATCAAACCTAAATCCGGCCCTGGTAGGGACAAGCCCTCCTTACTGAGTGATGTTGGAAAGGGAATGTGCACATGCTCAGAGACTCTTTATTACCAGACATTTACATTCTGCACTGACTCTGCCCTTCATCCAAAGAGTTCAGGGCAGCATCCATTCCCTGAACCAGTCTCATTATCACAACCGCACTATGTGGCCAGATGTTTGACTGATCCAGGCCTACCCATGAAATGCTGTAAACCTGGCTCTCTCCACCGTAAACCACTACATCAGTACAATGTCCTTAGAAAAACCCTTAATCTCTCTTCTTGGCTGTTTCTTTATCCAGGACAAATGTGCCCATCCCTGTTCAATAAGTGTTACTCTTGAGCCTTCCAATACCATGCAGGGCTTAATGTTGGACCAGATCCATCCATAACTAGACCAGATTCATCCATAAATTACTTGGCAAAGCAAACCCTTGGCCCTTAATTACCACCAAAGTTATTGCTGTTCTGAGCAAGGAAGTTATAAACCATGCTAATTTGGCTCTCATGTACAATATCCATCTGCACTAACTGCACAATATTAAATTCTCAAATCGGCTGCTTAAAAATACAGACTTTTCGCCCTTTCCTGCAGGTCGTTTTCGTTTGCCTCTGTATATGTCTATGTGTAAATCTGACCACATTGTCATTGGTGTGAGGTTAGTCGATATATCACTTATACAAGGCAGACAGCACCTGGATTCTGTGGTACACCAACAGGAACACCTGGATTCAATCTACCCAGACATAGTACAACAAAGCCCCTTTAGAGCAGAGCAGGGGCAGGACGGGATGGGGGTGGGGAGTCAGTGTTTCATGTTATAGTAAGCAGTGGGGTCTGCCACTTTTATACATAGTGTCAGTCAGGAGTGCTGACTTACTCTTTTTGGTCTTTCCTTATTAACCCTTTGCTCGCCTTTCACTGTTCATTTAGCATAACCACCAGACAATGGTTGAAAAACAATGAAAGTGCTACATTCTGTCTTTCTCTTGGCTGGTGGCAGATCAATCAAAAGCCACCCCCAAAATACTGGGATCTGGGGGTGAGGTGGGGGGAAATTAATAAAATTATTATTATTATTATTATTATTATTATTATTATTATTATTATTATTTCTACCCCACCCATCTGGCTGAGTTTCCCCAGCCACTCTGGGTGGCTCCCTATCGAGTGTTAAAAACAATACAGCATTAAATATTAAATATTAAAAACTTCCCTAAACAGGGCTGCCTTCAGATGTCTTTTAAATAATAATAATTTATTAAAGTGAATGAATTAAACATTATTTAGGAAGGTTAGGAAGATATTTCTCATATAAGAAATGGCAGAAAACAGGAAGAGACTTATTGTGAAGTCTTCCCTTCTTTATCAGGTTTGTCCTTTGTTTGTTTGTTTCGAAACATTCAGTTTTGGGAAATGGCAACATGCATTAAACATAGCCAGCTCAAGGGCTGTTATCATAATACAAAGAATGAATTAAGTAACCAGCACACAAGACTGAAAACATTGTCAATATAAGGGTGGTCATTTAAATTGATCTGGGCACAACCCCTCCAACCCTGCTGTCCTCAGGAGAGTCCGTAAAAGAGAAAGAGGAAACTGGGTCATGAGGGAACTGTTGGAAGCACAGCAAATGTTCAATTTGCAACTTTGTGTGGGCGGTGGGGTGGGGGTGGGTACTTTTGTGATTGGCAAGTGTGACAGCAGACTGATGAGCTGGAGACTCGAGTCAGTTGGAAGTTGGCTGGCAGTGACGAAGACTGCTGAGATTTGACCATTTGAGGAGCTGGAGGGGAAAACGGTTCTGGAGGTGTTATTCCTCTGTGTAGACCTGGCCTAAGGAAGACGAACCTCTGTGTTAATTTCTCCTCAAGTTATACCCTCTTTTTCACTCAGTAAAGTAACAATGGCTAACAACCACTTTGGCTATATTCCACCTCCACAGTCAGAAGCAGGATGCTGGGAATCGCAAGTGGGCACCAAATGAACAGAATGCTGGACCAGATGGGCCTTGAACTGATCTTACAGGGTTGTTTGTGCATTCTTATTTGCCCTCACAATAAATGTGCAGCTGCCAAGACTCTGCTTATAGCATCTTACATTCATATGCTTAATAACACGTGAACCTTCTCAAAATCAAGGGTGCAGGCAATTGCATGAACTAAGTACAGGCAGTGGGATTCTAGGTACATAATAGGGGCTGCATCCCTACTCACTTCAGTCGCCAACCTCACCAACCCCCTCCCCCTGCCTTTACAGCTCACCCAAAGAATGTCTCAGATCTTACCATACCTCTGAGGGTCTCCTGGACCACTCTTCTGGGCCATCCACCTGCCTGCATCTCTGTTCTTGGGTTCCCACCTCCTCCCCTCACTTGATTCTCTTGCCTGGGCCTCCTGTTTATCAGAGAATGTAGAGTAGGAAGTGACCCTGAGGTTCATCTAGTCCAACTCTACAGTGCAATGCAGGAATATTTTGCCTCATGCGGGGCTTGAACCTATAACCCTGATATTAAGAGTCTCATGCTCTACCGACTGAGCTATCACAGCATTTTTATGTCTCCCTTCTCCAGTTCCCCCCTCCTCCTCACCTCACCTAGGCCTGCATCTCTACCCTCTGGATCTCTCCTCCTCTCCTCACCCGGGCCGCCTACCTGCCCACCAGCTTGCCACACTGTAGTTTACAGCACCAACTGTCTGCAGCCAAGCAAACTGCAGTGTGACCATATCCTTAACCATTTTTTATATCAGCGAGATACGTCACTTGGAAATTGTGTCAAACACTTGAAGGCAAAGCATTTCTGGGGCAAGGGTGGGCAGGCAGGAGCTGGCATGATCAGGCACAGACCTGTGGCCCCATAACCTATTGTGCTCAGCCACTTCTGTGAGTGTGTGAAAATGCCTCTAATGTTTGACATCTGGTTTCATACGCTCTCCTTCTGGTCAGTCTTTTCTTCTGCACAAGATATCCCACATAAATGAACCCTCCTGTCTGGATTTCTAAAGAAAACGGCAAAATATTAGTTGCCGAAGGATTTTAATGCGGACCAATCTGAGGAGGCTATTTGCATCTTCTTGCCTTTTCCGATACTGGAGGCATCTAGCAGCTTCATTGGCAACACTCGGAAAGGGACTCTTTTTTTGGCAAAAATGACAAAGTTACCTGGAGCTGAGGCTCCCTCTGGGAAAAAACTGCTTATGGGGACCAGGCCACCATCAAAGAATTCCCTGCTAACATAAAGGGGACTAGTTGCTATGCTGAATCTTGACACTGCTGGACTTGGTTCAGCAGCCACACCTACGTCTTGAGACCCACGGCTGCGCTTCTGCTGGGGGATGTGAGCAAGGCTGTTGTCTCTGCTGCTCAGTCCTTGAATGCTTATCCGAGGTGCTGACAGCAACTTGGAAATTCTTAATTTGTCTTGCTCCGCAAGCTTCTTGACCACAGGAGATGTGTGACTAGTGTAGGCTGGATACTGGATGCGGTGGATCAGATGCGGTGGGATGCCAATATTGCTTGATACCAAAGCCCGATCTAAAACCCAAAAGATAGAGAATATATATTAGTTTTGGGATTTTTGGTTTCAAGAATTTTGATTCCAGAAAACAAATCCTTGCCTGTCTTTACCGGTTTGTGCATAATGCTAAGCTGTGTTTTGTTTAAGCCATAGTTTGTTTAAGCACAAGTTGTCTCACAGATGAGTGACCAAACCACATCTTGTTTCTCTAAAGCTTGCTTTGTTTTCTAGCTTTTCTTGCCCTGTGGCCTTTGTAGTTTGATGAGTGCCTTTCTGGAGTGGGATGGCCAAACAAACTATAATTAAAGATGAGTGCTGGGTTCGCATGTAAATCTAAGCCATAGCTGAAACAAACCAAGATTTGTATACCAACAACAAACTATGGCTTCTGACTGTGGTTTGTTGGCAGTAAACAATCCATAGTTAAGCTGCTGGAAAGGGTTAACATATAGCGCTATGTCATGGTTTAACAAAATATTGTTTAATAAGCCATGGTTTAGCATCATGTGCAGAATAGGTTTCTCCAAGGAAATCCCAAGGAAAGAGAAATTCCCTTTAGCCTAGCCTGCAAACAGGAAGAGGACAGAGAAGTTCACAGAAATAAGACACAAAGTTAAAAAACCATGAAGAAGGTCCTTGGAAATCCTGGAGCACCTTTGTAGTGCTGGATCTAAAAAATAAATAAATCATAAACCAGTAGCTTCTTGACCAAGACATACAAACATTTATTTCAGAAGGATCTTTCCCATCCCGCATGACATTGTTTTGTTAGAAGCCCTCAATAAATAAAACAACTGCTATCATCACACACTGGCAGTTAAGTATCTACAGGGCAAAAATGCTCTCAATTCAAGACCCAGCAATTCGTATTGGGTGCAGTGGTCCATAAAAGGCACACTGCAAGGCCAAGAAAAATTTATGCACCAGTAGCTGCATTTCACAACCTCAAGCTGTGCCTGAATCCACTTTGGCAGACACTGGAGAAAACTGGCCAGACAGTTTTGTGTTTTGCATGACACCTCATGGTAACAGCCTAACAATTATGCCTGCTGCCTTTGGACTCCTTGACTCAGCTGCTGTGAAACTACCACTGACATATTGCTTCACATGGGGTGCAAAACCCTCTTGGATTTCTCTCCATTGTAAGTTGCACATGCACCTTCCCTGAAAGAACACGTGGAAGTAAAACCCCCACCCCAATGTTCTTGGATGAGCTATTTTGTAGTCCTTTTGTAATTTCTTTTCTCTTTCTTTCCCCTGCATTGGACCTCTCAGAACTGGCCAACAGTCCCACTCTGACTCTGGCAAGAAACCAAATTGGCCCTCATTCACGTTATTGGATCAAAATCTAGGAGGAGCTTTAGTTACAATGCAAAAAGGTGCAGCCACGGTTTTTTGTTTTTGTTTCTTGCACCACCTGACACATTAAGCTGCCCAAGCTACACTACACTTAGTGGAAAGAGAACAATAATCCCCTCCAGGTGACTGTGCCAGAAATTCAAATGAGGGAAATAAAATAAAAGGTATTGGCTTACAGTAGGTGAATAGTAAATGCACAAAACAAATGGATGGAGAGAATCGAAAGATGGAAACTGGTGTCTGAGATGGAAATTGGTGTCTGAGCAAAAGATGTCTACTTGAATTCCAGCACAAACCTGGTTCCATTTGGTCTAGGATATTCTACTTTGGTCTAATATTTGGGGAATTTCAATTCAGGATAAAACTAAGAAATAAAAATATGAGCTTTCAAATGGGTGAAAGTGGGTAATTTTTAAAAAAAATATTTTTTATTAACCGACCAATCAAATCAAATCAAATCACATAAATTCCAAATTACAAAGCTGAATTTTAAATTTTTGTTGGGGGTACCATATTTCAAGTTCCGAAGGGGATCCAATCATCTTCTTGCTGATGCTTTCAAGTCCACAAATCTGTCCAAATAATGTTCACAGTTCTATCCAATCCTTTCTTATTGTTTTCCACATCTCTTCTTGTTTTTCATATATTTTTCCTTTCTCTTTGTGACCTCTGATGGTCTCTACAAGCAGGTTAAGACACATTGTAATCCTGTGTGGGTTTTTTCCGTTCACCCAAGAGCCATATCAGACGGCTTCCGTATATCATCGCTTCCATAAATAAAAACGCTCTTACCGTCGTTAATCTTCACTGGTCTGTCGCTCCCTTCTCAGTCCTTTGAGGAGGTTCGCTAGGAATCCAGTATGAAAACAAGTCCATTCCTCCTCCCGGTCGTAAATCTTTCGACAAAACCAGCCAACATGGTGACTCTGTTTTTTATTGCTGCGTCATTCCAAAGGCTCTTGTTCTTTTCTCAATCTCCGTAAAGCAAACTTTTGGTTAGAATTCATTTCCATACAGTTTTTAATCATCCTGCTTGGATCAGTTAGGCAATGGTTCCATCTTGAGGAGGGGTTATTGATTAATCACATAGAAGAAAATAAAAAAAGTTTCCCCCCCCCATCCAGTCCCGCTGCCGACATACCAGCCTTTGATGTATTCTTCATGATATATTCCTGTTAATCCAACCCGTTGCTCTTCTTTCACAGAGGTCCCTTCAATTAGCAGTCTTCACTCCCGTTCTTCACTTGAAATATGTGCAAGTGGGTAATTTTTATATGACCAAAAAATTCCCCGTAGATTTGATTGGGAAGGGATGGGTCAAAATTATCCTATATTCAGTGAGCAGTTCATGGATGTTTAAGAATCATGATTTGCCATAAATGACATCAGGGTGGGGAAACTAAGTCTCACTGGATGTTGTTGGAAGCCAACTCCCGTCATGGTCAATGCTAAGGGTGATAGGAGTTTGAGTCCAGAAACATCAGCTTTCGTACCCATGTGGCTCGGTCATTTCCATATTTCCCCTTCCCTTTCCGGTTGCTTTTTTTTTTTGCCTCTGCTGATATTTCACTGAACAAAGTCCCATCCTGCCTTGAGACCTTTAACACTGTGCCTATAAAATCCTAACACTTGGCTAGCTCTCTGCATGCCTTTTCTCTTCTCCATGGTTACCCCAGCTGAGAAACACTTTGTTTTTGTGTCACTTCCATTAGGCTGATTGAGTTTACAGGGGACGGCAGGAAACCATTTGATGGGAATATAAATTCCACGAAACAAAACTCAACAGATAAAAATGTTCCTCTTGGAAGAGTTTTCCCTAGCACTGGGCAGCCTTTGTCAAGGAGTTTGCCACAGAGGAGTCAGCACGAATAGGTCCACTTGTAGCTTTCCTATGACATGCCAAAAGATTTTGTGACCCAACACTGCATAAGAGAGAGGGGGGGTATTTCCAGATTCCCCCAACTGAAGAACATTGCTTTTTATGAAAGAGGGCAGGGGACATATTACTATAACGCAACCTATCCAGCAGTACATGTTAAAATGGATAATCGCTTCTAGTTCTGACGAGAAACTGGCATGGAGGCAATTTCCACACTCTTCTATTTAAAGACCATTTGCCTATGGTAGGGAGAAAGAGATGGGAAATAAAGTTAAACCCTGCTGGCTGTAACTCAGCATGTTCTGACAGTGTATAGAATTATTAGCAAAAGCAAACGAGGGGAAATGAAATTATACACTGAAGATGGGAACTTCGCAAGTGGGTGGGCTTTTTATTGGAGAAGGGGGCTGCAGAGTTACAATGTCTTTTGCTCTTTCTTGTTTCAAAGCTGTGTGTTTTTAGCCCTTCCTCGCCACACAGGCATAAAGGTTGTAGGGCCCCTTTTATTTTGCCATGTGGTTTCCATATACGCTCACTCTGGGGCCTCCAATAGGAAGGCGCTCCTACCTCAAGACACTAGTGAGAGTAGAGAGAAGTGTGGCAAATGCTTTTGTTCGCTTTGTAATGGAGAACCAGACTAATGCAAAACACTTGTCTTGGAGTGGGCATAATAGCTCCCCCTACACACACATATTTGAATTTCAGTCTTTGGCTAAGTACAGTCTGGCCTAAAGCAAGTGAGTATGTTGTAGCTCAACTGGTTGTCATCATCATGATGCTCTTAAATGAGGGAGGGGGAGAGATAAAGCAGTCCACAAAAGGGGGGGGAGTATAATAAAGACTCTGTAAGAAAACAAAAAGTAGGAGTTCATGTTCTCACTAGAATTAGCAGAGGTTCAGATACACAAAGTCAGGCAGTTCAGGGATGCTAGGCTCATTCTCATAGTATTCATGGCTTGCTGTGCCCAGAAATTGTCATCGTTGTCAGTTTATGATGTTATTATTGGAGTTTTATGACTGGCATGTCCTTTTTGAAATACTGTTTGATGTTTTTGGGGTGGGGGTAGCCACTTTTGCAGGGTTTTTTTGTTTTTAGAAATGAGGATAATAAGTTTTAAAAATGCAAATACATACATACAAATATAAATACATACATACTGAAACTCATCTCCAGGGGGATGCTGTTGAGGACATAGGCAGGAAAAGATGAAAAGAGGGATTTTTTAGTAGACATTGCTACTATAAAAAGAGGGTTTTTAGAGGAAGTTATTTTTTCTGAAGGGAGATGGAACCTCATTATTAGGATTTCCAGTACATTACTTTGAAAGACATGTGAAAACAAGGTTAGAGGTTCCAGCTTCCAGATGTCATGATAAGCCCCATTAAATAATACAGAATTATATCTTCCAGTAGAGTTGCATTAAAGTTGTCAAGTATTTTCAATTTTATAATACTTTCTGTTGTAATTTCAGAACATCAGAATGCACAGAACCCAAGAGGTGCCTCATATTCCATTTTCATTTCAAAATTTTAGATGCTACTTACTTTGCAGCCTGCCTTCTCAGGAGTCCTCAGGGCCATTTATTTTCAACCCTTGCTTCTGTTTGCATGGTGAAGTTCTCATTTATGTGCTCCCTCATACAAACACAACCCGTGCAATCTATGCCATTGAGAAGAATCCCTAAAGAGCGTTTGCATTGGAATTTCAGCTTTGGTGTCACTGTAGATTCAGGTCCACAAAAACTAGCATACATTACCAGCAGTCACACATTAAGTGCAGCCTAGAATCTAACTCATGGGGATTTAGACAGGCAGAGTCCCCCTCCCAGAAAGAAAGAAAGAAAGAAAGAAGGAAAGAAAGAAAGAAAGACAGGCTAGAATGAGGGAGGAATAGGAAAGAAACTGAAGGGAACCCGTTCCGGAGCCCCATTCACATCCTGAATAGAACGTAAGACGCGACAGCGCGTCTGCGCTTGCACGGGTCATGTGTTGCCGCTTCTGCGCATGCGCGTGACGTCATTTTGAGCATCTGCGCATGCGCGAGCAGCGAAACCCAGAAGTAACGTGCTCTGTTACTTCTGGGTTGCCGCGGAGCGCAACCCGAAAGTGCTCAACCTGAAGCACATTCAACTCAAGGTATGACTGTACAGTGGTACTGTTGGGTGCCTGGCATAGGAGGTAACAGAGAACCAGCCATAGACCTTCTATTACATTTAACTTAAAGAATTGCCTTTTCCCCCCTTATGATGTTATTGTCTTATAGATTGGTTTCTCATCCTTTCCTCCCATTTATGCGTGCCTGAATCTTGTATCTCTATCTTAGTCAGGTGGTCAGGTTTGTTTTTTGTAAAAAAGGACAAGACATCTGACACCTTTAATAGCTGTATAGAGGAGGTAGCTTCAGCAGGTGTAGCTTACATGACTGGCTGCACTGAATAACCCTTTAACACTTGATCATCTATCTATCATCTATCTATCTATCATCTATCTATCGGAAGTCTAATTCCAAAGAACTAGTCCTTAAATTAATTAAGCTAGAACAGTTCCTAGAGATGGATTTTCTTGGGAGAAGATGCCATCTCCACCACAATTTTCAATCTTTTTTTCCCTGAAGACTTCCCCCCCCCCTTTTTTTCCTGCAAAGGGATACACTGAGTTTTGGCTGCCGCTGCTGTACACAGAGACAGCCCCCTTTGCCTCCTGCAATGAGGCTATATTTTCCGTTGTATTTGTACAATGATCGTGCTCATATTGCAGGAATGACTCGGCTGCCGCTGTTGCACTAACAGTAAAATGGCTGGGGTGGAGCAGGGTGGGTGGGGAGTGATTCTGCAAACTCTTAAGGCAAGACCGGGAATGCATCGAGTAAGAGAGCTGGGAAACTTTTCCTGGACCAGTTTTTGTTTTGTGTTTTACTGGGAAGGCCTATCCAGGTCAGTGACCCTGGCCTCAATTCCAGTGTTTTCACATATGCCTTTTCCCCTGTGCGGGTGAGAAAGCTTCTCTATATGAATGGACCCTTCTGCCTGTGCAGATTGCACCACGCTATGGAGGAGCAAAGTTAAATATGGCCCCTTGGCAGGAAGGCACAGCTCACAGATATTTGGGGGTGGAGGAGAGCGCTTGCTAATGTGAAATGCCAAGGCAACAAATAGTTGACATTAGAATTGCATGCAGGCTGTGGGACTAGGCTATTCCTTTCAGGCGCTCACACAAAGGGCCCCTTTTTTGTCTCGCTGCTAAAGACAAGCAACAGAAAGAGAAATACAGAAACGATATTGATAGCTAGGGGAAAGGCCTGTGGAATTTCTGGGGAGGGTTTGCTATCCCAAAAGCACAATGGCTTGTGCTTTGAAATGCACAGACCACGTAGGACGCAAAAGGCCACCGGGGTCTCACGTGACCATGGATTTGCCTTCCCCGCCTACCCCGGCCGATTCCCCCTCACTCAGAACTTGGTGAGAGTTCTTGCTGGTCTCCAACATCTACAGTAACAATCCTGCCACATATTTAGGCAGCCTGGCTGCATACCCTCCAGCATTTCTCCAGTGAAAGTAGGGATGCCCTATTCAATCATCATCATCATCATCTTGATACCCCACCCATCTGACTGGGTTGCTCCAGCCACTCTGGGCGGCTTCCAACATATATAAAAACATAATAAAACATTAAACATAAAACCCCGCTTCCCCATACAGGGCTGTCTTCAGATGTTTTCTAAAGGTTGTATAGTTACTTAGCTCCTTGGCTTGGAGGTTACATAACTCCATACTTTCCATACATTTTTCTGATGAAAATAGGGATGTCTTAAGGAAAAGCGGGACATTTCGGGATCAAATCAGAAACCAAGATGGCTTCTGTAAAACTGGGACTGTCCCTGGAAAATAGGGACATTTGCAGGATCTGTGACTGTGCACAGCATGGCGGCCTAGATTGCCTTCCTCTGGTTCAAAGAACCAAAGATTCATAGAATTGTAGAGTTGAAGGGACCGCAAAGGGTCATCCAGTCCCAACCCCCAGCAATGCAGGAATTTCAGCTAAAGCATCCATGGCAGATGGCCATCCACAGGCAAGTCTTTAGCATATGTGCCGCCGGGGTGCAAAGATCCACCCAGCACCCCCAAATTTAGTTTAGCCCCCCCCCAATTAACTTTTGCATCACCGTTGTGAGCGCCGTCGTTGAGTCTGACAAGCGGCACCATTGTGAATGACAAGCACCACCGCTGGCGCGGTGTGTCTTTGGTAAATGAGCGTGCAAACAGTAGGTGAAACAGTAGTGAAACAGTAGGTATACATCTAGTTACAGGTAGGTAGCCGTGTTGGTCTGCCATAGTCGAAACAAAATAAATGAATAAAATTCATTCCGGTAGCACCTTAGAGACCAACTAAATTTGTTATTGGTATGAGCTTTCATGTGCATGCATCTGAAGAAGTGTTCATGCACACGAAAGCTCATACCAATAACAAACTTAGTTGGTCTCTAAGGTGCTACTGGAAGGATATATTTTTTTAGTAGGTATACATTTTGGTAATACCTAGGTATATATGTATTTTGTTTTTCTAGCTTGATCAAAATTATTTATTATTTCATAACTGGTAGATAGTTAAGAGCTTAAGCGGCTTCAGTGGTGGGTGCCTGGTGCCCTCCAGAATTCAGCGCCCAGGTGCCCTGCACCCCTTGCACCCCCAGGTAAAGACGGCCCTGGCCATCCAACCTCTTCTTAAAAACCTCCAAGGAAGGAGTTGTTCAGAACTGTTGACAGGTGCCAGGCCCCAGGCCAGAGAAGCTTAGGTCTGAAGCTACACATGGGGTTTCCAAGTCAGGTTTGCAGAATTCAGGTGTTGCTTCTTTGCTGCAAAGCAGAATCCAGTGAGCGATATTTATAAAAGGAGCAGTTGGAGGAGGTCACATAGTTGTAGCATTGTCTGTGCCTGCCTCCTCCTTCCATTTTGCCCCAACCTACAGTTCCAGACCCATAGTTTTGTCACAGTGAAGAAGCACTGCCCAAAGTTTGGCAATGTAACTTGGATAAATAAAGTGTGGTTCTACTCTAAGGGCCTTCTCAGATGATAATAGACCCACAGTTGTTGCTCATTTTGGGGGGATCCAGATGGTTTCTTTCTGTGGCAGGGATAGAGCATTTTCCAAGGACTTGGGAGGAAATATAGCTCAATGCGTGTGCTGGGTACAGATGAGCATGAAAGAAGTGCAAAGCAGGAATAAGACTTTTTTTCTTTTCTTTTCAAAAAGGCAGCTAGAAAAGCCTCAGACAAACACCATGCAAAATGTCTCAGCAGTTTAGCATTTAATCTATAGCTAACGGTGGAAGAGGAAGCATTGCTGCACAGTGAATGAACCATGATAAACGTTGGCTGTTTGTGGCACTGCCAGCCAAAGGAACAATCCTAACACCTAAGATTCATCAAGCTAGACCTTACAACGTCATTTGTTTCCCTAGCTACTAGGATCCTAAAGCGTCCCTATTCCCAGAATGAAATCTAAACTGGAATCTAGAAACATATAAAAAATGCTGTGAAAATGTGTGGGGTTTTTTTTTAAAAAAAAAAGCGTTTTGAAAAATATATAAAATTTGCCATAAACTCACCATAGCCATCTAGTGTCATATTTGTATAATACACTTTTAAAACATTATATTTGCAGCTGTACAGCTGAGTCCTAAGGTTAGTCAATAGCCAATTACTTGAACTGGAGTGCATTGCACTTGGTGGGGGGGGGCACACTGTTCTGATTCATTAGATGCAACTTGTGAACCCTGTACCATGTGCAACTTCAAAATCTGGAATTACACAATATGGGCAGCTGGGTTTAGACCACCAACTAGGAGTTCTGCCCCCTCCCACCTTGTGTAGGAGGAATTGAAGACATCGCTTTTAAAGCCCCTTTGAACATTGCCACCATTTCCATGGCAAATACATACATACTGGGAGATAATATCAGGGTCATTTAAGACAAGGCCGTGCAATTGAATGGGATGCATGGCACATCACTCTGGTGCCAAGGGAGTTAGCAATGCAGCTTCAGCATGACCCACAGTGGGATTGTAGATAGTGCAAACAATCCTGTGCATTGTGGATAGAGATGAAGGAGGCACATAATAGCATGAACGTATTCCAGAGGGTGGTAACGTAGCCAGTTGACCACCATCAACACCCTGTGCTTTTTCACCTTTAACACCTGCATGATGCAGACATTTTAAAAGTAAATGTCATTTCCATTTGAGACCTTTGATTACTACAGCTGCTAGTCAGAGCAGACAACGAAGGCTGAGCTGCTCTGTGCTTTGATGCTGAAACCAGCCCTGCCAAAGAGCCCCGCCTTTCACAAATCCTCACCACTTTCAGCAGTGATCTGCCCCTAAAGCATCATTCAACAGCTGTTTTGCTCGTTTCCCCCTGAAGTGGTATTCTGTTGCTGTTGCTGCACAGACACTCCTCCATGCCCATCAGACAGTGAAACCTTGGATATAAGTGACTGCCCAATTTCCAAACAGTCAGAGAAAGAGAGGGAGAGGAAGTGCTGTAGCAGCCCGAACAAAGGCCGCCTTTGTGAGCTTGGAGAACAAGCCAGGAAAACACAACACGGCATTAAAAATTACATGCTAGGCTGGCAGGATCGTTCAGAAGGGGATCAACCAATCCAGACGGCGTTTCCCCAGGACTCCAGTGAGAAATTCCGGTACCGCCGTTTCAGAGCAGAGCTAAGTCTGAAGACATTTGAGTTCTTCTCAAACTGTTCTAAGAAAAGCGCCGCAAATTCTGGAGCGGACACACGGCTGTCATTCCCGGCTTGCGTGTCCTAATAATACATGCCAGGTTTGAAAAGTCCATGGAATCTGGTTGTCATTAACTCTCTGCTGATGTTATTGAGGAGGAGTGAATGGTGAGCCTGCAAAGGGCACAGGATTGAAAGACCCAACGGTCCTCCTGCTACAAAAATTAGACGGCTGCTAATTTTATTTGCCCTGAAATTACCCGTGAGCAAATGCCAATTCCATGTGGCGGCAGATATCACTAGGTGGCACTGTTATGAAACTTGCCTTTTAAGGCTTATTTGACCCAGGAAGTTGACCATGTGCATTGATTTAGGGCGCCACTGGATGGTGAATATTGGGATTCAAGAGCATGCCAGAAAATTGAGGTTTGCGCAATTAAAGTGGATTAAAGCGCTATGTCGCCTAGTGCAACAAATCCACTTTTACAAAACAAACAGATTTCTTTGCAGTTCAGAAAGTGATGGGGAAATGGACAGAAAATGTGGAATAAATGAATGAATCATTCATAGGAATGCATGCCAACAACCCGCAAACAAATTAGGAGGAATGCAAAAGGAATGTTCATCATCGTATAACCTCCTTGCAAGCAAATCACAATGAATGCTCAGTACAGTGGTACCTCAGGTTACAGACGCTTCAGGTTACAAACTCCGCTAACCCATAAATAGTACCTTGGGTTAAGAACTTTGCTTCAGGATGAGAACAGAAATCGCGTGGCGGTGGCGCAGTGGCAGTGGGAGGCCCCATTAGCCGAAGTGGTACCTCAGGTTAAGAACAGTTTCAGGTTAAGAACGGACCTCCAGAACGAATTAAGTTCTTAACCCGAGGTACTACTGTAAAGATTCTGTATAATCAAACTGTGTGATCTTTGTGCAAGAAAATCAGGATGAATGCTCACAACATAGGTTAAAGCCTTTCTTCATTATTGCAGTTTAGATTCCACCTTCATTCAAGGTAGGTAATAACCACCAACCCCATCAGACACCTTTTCTTTTTAAAAAACTAAATCGGGTATCCGGGCTGCAAAGCCCACTGAGAGATTGATGCATGCTGCAGGACTTGGCCCTTTCCACACTGCTGATTTTAAACCTCCAAACTGCCCCTCCCAGCTGCTTACTCCCATGGGCCTTTGCCAGTGATACCCTGGAACCCAAATGCCTTGGCTCCCAAACAAATCAGCTCCCAAACGATCAAAACCTAGAAGTGAGTCTTCTGGTTTTTGAGCTATTTTTGGAAGCTGAACGTCCGACAGGGCTTCTGTGGCTTCCTGCAGCCAATCAGAAGACACGCTTTGGTTTCCGAACGTTTTGGAAGTTAAACAGACTTCCGGAACGGATTCTGTTCAACTTCCAAGGTACAACTGTTGAGTACAAGTTGAGGGGGAAAGAACAGGCACTCATTCAGGTGGATCTGCTACCCCATATCTCCAAAAAAAAAAGGCCTGACAGTCCTCAGGTGATTTGAGCTAACTCATGGCTCATTTTTTCTCCCTCTCTCTTGCCTAAAGGTAAAGGTACCCCTAACCGTTAGATCCAGTCGTGGACAACTCTGGGGTTGCGTGCTCATCTCGCTCTACAGGCCAAGGGAGCCAGCGTTTGTCCACAGACAGCTTCCGGGTCATGTGGCCAGCATGACTAAGCCACTTCTAGTGAACCATAGCAGCGCACGGAAACACCGTTTACCTTCCCACCAGAGTGGTACCTATTTATCTACTTACACTTTGACGTGCTTTCAAACTGCTAGGTTGGCAGGAGCTGGGACCGAACAACGGGAGCTCACCCCGTCACGGGGATTCGAACCGCCGACCTTCTGATTAGCAAGTCCTAGGCTCTGTGGTTTAGACCACAGCGCCACCCGTGTCCATTCTCTCTCTCTCTTGCCTACCTCTGCCCATTTCTTCCAAAACGCATCACCTGATGTTTCTATGCAAACACATCCACTACACCCGCCCACAAACTTATCTGTGTGTGCATGTGTCCTTCTCCAAACTGTAATGATGACTGGGTGCTTCTCAACGCTCAAGAGATGCCTCCACTTATCAGGAGACCATCTCCTAACCTCAGTTAGCTGATACCTTATCAACGGGAGCTCACTATTACAGCCAGCAACATTCCTAACAAAAGCAACGCTCACCCAGCGGCTAATAATAATAGGAATCAAATCCTTATGAAGCCCCCTGAGGATGTAGCAGTGCCTGAGAGTACAATTTTGCTATGTGAAGAAGTACCCTTGGGCTGTAAAAAATCCCTGAAGGTATGATCGGCACTGCAATACCATTTACTTGGGCCTAATTCTCAAGGAATGTGCTTCTGAGCAAATGTGATTAGAGGTGTGCTGCACATCACATGTGAAACCATGAAATATAAGACATGCTTGTAAAGAAGGAAGTGGGTGTTGACTTTTCCTAAGCTACTCAGCCACTTGCACAGCACTCAGTTGTTAAAATTTCACACCTCAAGGGGACTATCCTTGGAGCTCTCTAAGCTGATCAACTCAGGACCATTGCAGACTATGCAAAAATGCTACCAAAGGACTGAAGTTCTAAAGAAGAAGGCTTAATACATCCCAGATCCTATTTTTCCTGAAATTATTAGGAAAGGAATGGGATACCAGGTGCCTGGTATCAGGAGGCCAGACTATTTGTCCTCCTAGGACGGCATTTTCTACTCTTGCCTGCTGACCGATTTCCAGTATTGGTTCTTCAGCCTCACTTGATACCTGATTAAATTTTATTATTATATGCTGAGATTCCTTCATTGCAGGGGGTTGGACTAGATGACCCATGCGGTCCCTTCAGACTCTACAATTCTATGATTCTATATGAGATCTCACAGATTGCTGCATACACAGTATTTTTTGCTGCTTCCTAGCTAGCCTATAGCCCCCCCATCCCTGACAACATTACATAATAGGATAGCAGATACTAAATAACCATTGAAATCACTTTTCCTACTCCAGGGGACAACTTTAAAATCTTTTTCTTTTTTTTTAAAATGATATTTATTAAAGTTTCAAAGAAAAAATTACATATATAAAAAAGAAAAAGAAAAAGAAATAAAAAATAAAAAAATAGAAAATAGAAAACACTTAAAAAAACAAAAACACATTGTTCTTTCCATAACTTACATTTCATTTCCTTACTTCCCTGACTTCCTCACACCTCTCTTTTTTGTATTCCAGTTCTATTAGTTAATTCAGCAATTCCTTTCCCTCTTTGTTTTTGTCTTAATCCTTTAACTTAACATATTATAACTTTAGATTCTCATCTGTTAAGAATCCATTTGTACATACACCTTTATAACATTGCTGCTAAGACCACTTAATTTCATTCTGACATCATTCTAACATTCATTAATTTTGCAATATTTCTGTAAATAGTCTTTAAATTTCTTCCAATCTTCTTCCACCGACTCTTCTCCCTGGTCTCGGATTCTGCCAGTCATTTCCGCCAGTTCCATATAGTCCATCACCTTCATCTGTCATTCTTCCAGAATGGGTAAATCTTGTGTCTTCCAATACTTTGCAATAAGTATTCTTGCTGCTGTTGTGGCATACATAAAGAAAGTTCTGTCCTTCCTTGGCACCAATTGGCCGACCATGCCCAGGAGAAAGGCCTCTGGTTTCTTCAGGAAGGTATATTTATATACCTTTTTCATTTCATTATAGATCATCTCCCAGAAAGCCTTAATCCTTGGGCATGTCCACCAAAGGTGAAAGAATGTACCTTCAGTCTCTTTACATTTCCAACATTTATTATCGGGCAAGTGATAGATTTTTGCAAGCTTGACTGGTGTCATGTACCACCTGTATATCATTTTCATAATATTCTCTCTTAAGGCATTACATGCCGTAAACTTCATACCTGTGGTCCATAACTGTTCCCAGTCAGCCATCATTATGTTATGTCCAACATCTTGTGCCCACTTAATCATAGCAGATTTAACCGTTTCATCCTGAGTATTCCATTTCAACAGCAAGTTATACATCTTTGACAAAATCTTGGTTTTGGGTTCTAACAGTTCTGTTTCTAATTTTGATTTTTCCACCTGGAAGCCTATTTTCTTATCCAAATTGTATGCCTCCATTATCTGATAATAATGAAGCCAATCTCGCACTTTGTTTTTTAGTTTCTCAAAGCTCTGCAATTTCAGTCTATCTCCCTCTTGTTCCAGAATTTCCCAATATTTCGGCCATTTGGCCTCCATATTGAGCTTTTTCAGAGCTTTCGCTTCCATCGGTGACAGCCACCTTGGGGTTTTATTATCCAGTAGGTCTTTATATCTTATCCAGACATTAAACAATGCTTTCCTGACAATATGATTTTTAAATGCTTTATGTGCTTTGACCTTATCATACCACAAATATGCATGCCATCCAAATACATTATTAAAACTTTCTAAGTCCAAAATGTCTGTGTTTTCAAGAAGCAGCCATTCTTTCAGCCAGCAGAAAGCTGTTGATTCATAATAAAGTTTAAGGTCTGGCAGGGCAAATCCACCTCTTTCCTTTGCATCCGTTAGTATTTTAAATTTTATTCTAGGCTTCTTGCCCTGCCAGACAAATCTAGAGATATCTCTCTGCCACCTCTTGAAGCAATCCATTTTGTCCAAAATTTGCAACGTTTGAAAGAGAAATAACATTCTAGGCAATACATTCATTTTTATCGCAGCAATACGGCCTAGCAGTGAAAGCTTCAAATTTGACCAAATTTCTAAGTCTTTTTTCACTTCAGCCCAGCATTTTTCATAATTGTCTTTAAATAGATTCCCATTTTTGCTGTCATGTTAATCCCCAGGTATTTCACTTTCTTAACCACTGTTAAACCTGTCTCATTCTGAAACCTCTCTTTCTCAATCACAGTTAAGTTTTTCTCTAAGACCTTTGTTTTTAACTTATTCAATTTAAATCCTGCAACCTGACCAAATTCTTGAATCAGTTCCAAAACCCTTTTAGAGATTCTGGCTCCTGCAATGTCAATACTAAGTCATCTGCAAATGCTCTCAATTTGTACTGTTTAGCTCCGACTTGTATACCTTTAACCAATTGGTCCCTTCTAATCATATTCAGCAGGACCTCCAGGACCGATATAAATAGCAATGGGGAGATTGGGCAACCTTGTCGTGTCCCTTTTTCTATCTTAAATTCCTCCGTCACCACGTTATTTACAATTAATTTAGCCTTTTGTTCTGAATAAAATGCACTTATACCGTTTTCAAAGCCTTGGCCTACCCCCATCCCCTGTAGGTTCTTCTTCATGAAACTCCAAGAAATATTGTCAAAGGCTTTCTCCGCGTCCGCAAATATCAAAACTGCCTTGGTATTTATATTCACTTGTAGTTTTTCTAAAATATTGATTATGTTTCTCACGTTGTCAGACAAATGTCTACCCGGGAGAAAGCCTGCTTGATCTTTATGTATCTCTTCCATTAGGACTCTTTTTAGTCTTTTAGCCAAAATGTCTGCAAAGATTTTGTAATCCACATTGAGCAGTGATATGGGGTGGTAGTTCTTAAGCTGGGTCTTTTCAGTCTCTATTTTCGGTACAAGTGTAATATACGCTTCTTTCCACGACTCTGGTGCCCTTTTCCCACCCATTATTTCGTTACAGACTTCCTTTAAAGGTTGTACTAGCCATTCCTTCAAGGATCTGTAGTATCTAGAAGTCAGTCCATCCGGTCCTGGAGATTTACCTAGTTGCATATTCTGAATGGCACCTTCCACCTCCTGTTCAGTTATTTTATAGTTCAGCATTAATTTATTTTCTTGAGAGATTTTTTGTAATCCATTTGTTTTCAAAAATCGGTCTACATCAATTTCTTTCTGTGGCCCTTGTGTATATAGTTGTTTAAAGTACCTCTGGAAACAATTTCTAATCTCAACTGGGTTCTGTATATTCCTTCCTTCAACTTTAAAATCTGGCCCAAATAACGTGTTTGGTGTAAAGAGGTGTGCACACAATAAGGTATATAAGGAGTCACTGGGCTCCTTGTATTTTTTTATTTTATTTTTTGCTAAAATGGATTGATAATATGGCTGTATTTTCCAACTGAGCTCTCAATGGATCATGCATTCCTGCATCCCCCAACTCAGTATCCATGCATTAAGTCCTTGAATAAACTGAAAGCATATTTCCCTGGTCCCTAGAAAAACAAAAACAAAAGCCAGGCATCACTTCCTCTCCAAAGAAGCCTCAGGCTTATTTCATATCTGCCATCATCTTAAAATAACTGAGCTTTACAAGCAGGACATGATGCCATCCGTGATTGGGCTCATGCTATGCATCACCAATAGGTCACTCTCTGGCTCAGTTACAGTATAAAAGTAGGATTGTGCACCAAACCCCCAACGGCCACTCCAGGACGGGAAACGCAGGTTCATGAGAGGGCAATTTGAAGAAGAAAAGTGGTAGGGGGAGAGTGTGCTTAACCCTTCCTTCATTAGTGTTTCCACTGAAAACTCTCCCTTCAAACTGCAATATGCGCGCGCGCGCACACACACACACACACACACACACAGCTGCTTTTCACACCAAGAAGCTCCTCCAAATGTACATTTACTCCATTCCAGACCAGAAATATGGGCCTCCCTGTCTTTTTAATAAAGACAGTTCCATTTTTAAAAGAATTAGTAAGAAGATGCCTGTGAAACCTGCAAGTTCTGATGTGAGAAAGGAGAATTTCCCAGAAAGGGAAGGAAACAAACACACAAATAAATGGCTGCACCCTGCGAAATAGTTTCACCGGGCAGCGCTGATCACGCTGGCTCCTCTACTATAACAGCCCACTGCTGTCTTTGGCGCTCTGCTTGTTTTCACTGTTTAATGAAACAATAATTCTGTTTTAAGCATTGGCAGCTGTCTTATGCACTGAGGTTTTGTGTAAATTTGTTATCCTTCATGGTGAAAACCATATAAATAAACACAGCAGCTTTTCCTTCCTGCCTGGACTCCCCACAAGAACCAGGCTGGTGGCTCTGGGCTCCCCTTCTCTGTCTCTCTCGCTTGCTCGGCTTGATAGCCTCAGACGCCAGCAATCACAACCCTGCCTCCCACGGAGCAAGCAGCCAGCTTTGGTTTAAATCAGCTTCTCCCTGGAACTCGTAATAAACACAGTGCAAAGTTTTGGAGCCATCAATGAATGGGATCGGCCAGGCTGGTCCAGCGTTCTCAGTGTTAATACTGCGGTGGCTTCAGCCCAAAGTCCAGCTTGGCTTGATAAGGTTGTCAAAGCTTCCTGTTCTGGCTGACTACATTCAAATAGAACCTGCTTACATGAGCTCAAATCCCAACATGTGCTGAATGCTTCAGTGCCTCCTGAAAAACTGTCCCAGCAAAGCTCAACTTGTTTCTTTCAGGTCTGCAAATTGGGAGAGACCGATTGGAACAAGTGGGTCTTTCAGAGGCCCAGATTCAAGAACAGAATAGCCCTTTCAATTCCTTTGACTTTTCCAATTTAAAACCGCCCTCTTCAAATCCTGCCCCAGTGAACCTTGACTAGCTTTGATGGGGGAAATTGCTTAGTTTGAAATGTCTCAAAATTCTAAGTGCCTGGCTCTTGGATTTTGGAATAATTTAGAAAATATATATATACTGTTTGTTGTTTGTCGGCTAATTCAATTCAAAATTGCCAACAATTTACTAAGCTAGTTGTAAATGATGAATAACAACAACAATAATAAAATTGACTATCAACGTAGCATCAAAGTTCCTGCTTTGATGAGAATTCAAATTTTGCCAAGTGTGAGGAATCTATTGCATTGACTGCTATTCCAATTCATCTTGCCCTTACTGTTGAAGGCCACCCCACTCAACCATGGCAATGTTAGAGAGGGTTGAGGGTTGCCCACTATGACATACAGGGTGAAAGTATGTGTGTGTGTGTGAACACACACAAAAGAATTTGGGGCTGACTACATTACAGTGGTACCTCGGGTTACATATGCTTCAGGTTACATACACTTCAGGTTACAGACTCCGCTAACCCAGAAATAGTACCTTGGGTTAAGAATTTTACTTCAGGATGAGAACAGAAATCGTGCTCCGGCAGCACAGCAGCAGCAGGAGGCCCCATTAGCTAAAGTGGTCCTTCAGGTTAAGAACAGTTTCAGGTTAAGAACGGACCTCCGGAACGAATTAAGTACTTAACCCAAGGTACCACTGTAATGTGAGTGATTAAGTGTGCCTATTTCAAATTGCTGCACACTGAGGGCAGATTCATTTATTTAGAAGATAAACCAACCTTTTAAAATTATTTTTAATAGGGAGGCTTTGCACAAGTCGGCTCTTGCACAAAACTGCTCTATTAAAAAAAATATAGAAACAGGTATCGACAGATAAACAGGAACTGGGAGTGAAGGGTTCTTATGCCCCTCCCTCCCTGCTGCCTCCATTGCACTTAGGCCCCATAAAACTCATATTTTGGAGTATCATCCTTCACTCACTGTCTGAAGGATGTAATGTATGTGGTTCATCTTAGGGCTGCATGTTGCTTTTTAGCCTTCATGTGGCAGGTCAGCATGAGAAGAAACATGAGCCATTTTTGAAATTGTCACCATGTGACTACTTACTGTATTGCTTCCTTAAATACAGAGGCAAAGCAGATGCCTGGAAAATGTGATTTAGCATGTCTGAACCGTTCCCTAGATGATGAAGTTCAAGTAAACATAGCTGCAAATATTGAAGTGCTCTTCTTCTGCACATGTAATGGGATAGAGCTCAGTCCGAAGAGCATGAGACTCTTTATCTCAAGGTAATGCGTTCGAGCCCCACGTTGGGCAGAAGATTCTTGCATTGCAGGGGGTTGGACTAGGTGACCCTCAGGGTCTCTTCCAACTCTACAATTCTATGTTTCTATGTCACTTCCATTATTATGCTTATGCCAGCATCCCTATTCAATGGCTCTTTTCTTGTGGATTCCTAAAAAAAAAGCTCTTAAAAACCTTGTGTTAAATTATTCTGCAGCTATCCCTCGATCCCAGTGAAGCCCTGTAGCTGGAGCAAAAACAAAAAACAAAAAACTGTAAGCCTTTCCATAGAGAGAACCTTTTGTCAAGATTGCCTTCAGCTACAATTCAGGCTCACATAATATGTGGTATATTCTTGTCATCTTCGGGGTGGGGGTGGGGAGACCTCCCCCCAAAGAGATCCTTGGAATTCTGCTATGGAAGCCAGGAATGCTGAGTGTTCTGTTCCTTAATCACCAGCCTATAACGTCTCTGTTTCATCAGCTCTGTTTTCAGTTTAAAATTATAGCACACAGGATGGAATGGCAAGCTGGTAAATTTACAAGCCCTTAATAACTTGGGCATAGCTGTCAACTTTTCCTTTTTCTTGCGAGGAATCCCATTCTGAATAAGGGAATTTCCCTTTAAAAAAGGGAAACGTTGACAGCTATGAACTTAGGTCCAGGATACCTTAAGAATTGCCTTACAAATTAGGTTGCACTTCAGCTTCCATCAGTCCCAGCCAGCATGGCAAAAGGTCAGGGATGTTGGGAGTTGGAGTCGAATGACTATTTTGGTGTTAAGCAGTATAAAAATTAAAGAATAAAAAGAATAAAACATCTGGAGGGCCAGATCTTCCCTTTCCCCAACTTACAGCAAGGAACTGCACACTCTGGGATGTAGAAGGCACATACAAAACTGTTGTTTTAACTGAGGATTTGAGCTACCCATTCATCCTCTGAATATGCCAGATTTTCAAAGCTTAGTGCACTCTGCTGCTCATTTCTAATAGACAACTGCTGAATGATCATCCATTTGTTTTTGACAGTAATGATTAACCCTGCTCTTTATACTGTTCCTCTTTTATAGAAGTCCAAATGAGCTCATGCTTCCATGTCAATTTGAGGATATATTGAATTTGTTTCCAGGAAGACAATATAGAATTTCCAATCCAAAGTTCATGGGAGTGTTCAAAATGTGAAATGTCCTGATCTCATATTTGGATGACATTTCTACCTTCCTTTCACTTCTTGGTAGAAAAAAAAAGCCACAGCTGAATTTAGAGGTTACTCTGATTTGTTTTGACCTTAAGATAATAGTGGAGAATTGAATCCAGAAGCTTTGTTTTTAAAGAACCAATTTTCTTCTTCCAGAAATAGCTCCCCCCCCCCAAATAGGATCCACTAATTATCATTCAAACAAGATTGCATCTGCCTACACCAGGGTAAATCTCCTGGTTCCCTATGACATATATTAGAGGAGGCCTAGTCTTCATTATCTCTTCATGATATGCCCCCTTTCCTTATCTCTCATCCTCTTCCTTGTCCGCAACACCAGAGAGAGATTCTCATCTTCTATAAAAGCAACAAATGGGGAAACTGCTGCAGTACAAATTCCCCCTCCAGATGTTGATAACCTGCAACTCCCATCCCCTCTTGACCATTGGCCATGCTGGAGTCCAACAACATCTGGAGAGCCATAGGTTCCACAGCTCTTTCTAGATATGTTATTCACTTCCCTGTGAGAACTATTCCAGTGGGGGAACCAGATAAACAAGGACAAAATGAAGTGGGATAATTACAGACGTTCCTAGAGCCTGGAAGTGTCCTGTAAGGCCTTTTGGCAAGAGGACTGTCAGCTGGCTTACAAGTGAAATGGTGATGCCCTTCATCCTCCTGCTTTGCTCAGAACATCACTCTGCCTCAGGAAAAACCTGGTCTGCTGGGCTACAACAATTAAGAAAGTAAGACAAGCCCATCCTGCTGCTTCCCACAATGGCCAACCATTGTTGGAGATGCAGAAAGCCCACAAGACACCAAGGCAATAGCCCCACCCTGCTATTTGCCACAAAGCAAGTGGTAATCAAGGGCATGCTACTTCTGAACAAAGGAGTTCCACCCAGCCACCATGCCTGATAGATAGCTTTATCTGCCATAAATTTACCTAATCTACTTTTAGGAACAGAGAGAGGCTGTCTTACACCAAGTGAAGGTATTTATAAGTCAAGTCAAGTGCATTTTTGTTTATTCTGACTGGCAGCACCTATCTAGGTTTTCCGGCAGAGCTCTCCCACACTACAGCAGTGTGTAGCGTAGCGGTTAGAGTGTTGGCCTAAGACCTGGGAGACCAGGGTTCAAATCCCCACTTGGCCACATAGTTCACTGGGTGGCATTGAACCAGTCACAGTCTCTCAGCAGTCTCTCGTGCCACTTTAGGCGCCAATTAATATCAGCGACTAGGGCTTAAAATGCCTACCACAACAGCACAATCCTACACCTGTCTCCTAGTCAATTCCACTCAGTTCAACAGGGCTTATTCCCAGGTAAGTGGATATTGGATTACAGTCTAAATTCCGAAATGCAAGGGCTGCCACCTCCCGCTTCTGCAATTGCAGCACGGATTCAGAAACCTGAAAGATTTTAATGCCTAGTAGATTCAGACACAGATCACAGTGTTCAAAGTAAACACTTCAACCCCTCATTCATCACTCAGGAATGCTAATCCAGCATGGCCTTGAACTCAGCAACTCTTGCTGAGATGGGTGTGTGTGGCCCAGATTCCTCTTAAGGCCTGCGTCGGGGATGAAGAAATGGAGGGACCATGTTTCAGAGTTTATTTCACCACTGCCACTCTATCATACAGAAAAGCTGTCTGCTTGCCATGATAGAGTGACGCTCTTTCCTCCAAGATTGTTCCTATCTGTGTTTCCTCCGAGGCAAAGGACCAGCAGCCTCCAGCCAGCATGCTTGAGGGGTGGCTTTTGTAAGATTTTCTCTCCCTTCCAGGCTAATTAGAAACAGGTGCTTGTTTACCGGGAATGACAGCAACCGGTTCTATAGGCTCACAACCTTAGCTGTGAGCTATGCCAAATAACCTGTTTATTGAGTGCTTGGCTTGTACTTTACATTACGGTGAAGGAACACATGTCATTATCATCATTATTAAATATTGTGAGAGCAGTAGGGCAGCTCTAGACGCACTCTCGCCGAATCCAGTCCAAATGCGCCTTTCTCAAGCCCTTGGGGAGAAATGCGCCTGTCAGTTCAAAGCAGGAGCCCAGGCACTGAGTTCAAAGGAGAATTCCACCCTGCCCCTGTTTCCCATGATATCACCCAGAAACCTCCTCCTCATACTGGGGACAATTCTGCAGTTTTTAAAAGCAAGTTTCCTTCTTTTAATTGGCAATGAATGGATAAGTGCACAAACTTTTGTGTGAGACTCTGTTAAAGATACATGAGGGCGATTTGCTGCCTGAAGCATATTGGGAGGAGAAGACTGGTGTCTGAAATAGTGGCCTGATTCAGACATAATGCTAAGACAACCTATGGATTAGTGTGAATGAGCAAGCATGTGGCAATGCAGAGCAAAAACCTGGCCTTGCTGCTACCACTGCTTGTTTTCTGGGGAGACGCAGGGGGACTCATGCCCCTAAACATTTTGTGAACCTTTGTACTTTTGTCCATTTACTGTGTTTATTTTTCCTGATTTGAACTATAAAATGGTGATTTTCTTGAGTCAAAATGAGAGTACCCCTAAACATTTTTTTAGAAAAAAAGCACTGAGCAAAACTATGTTTTATATAATCTGTAAGCCACCCAGAGTGGCTGGGGAAATGCAGCCAGATGGGTGGGGTATTATTATTATTATTATTATTATTATTATTAGGTTTGGCTTAGCATTACGTGCAAACCTGGTCTCATGGTTTGTCTTGCTCCAAAGAAACAGGGTTTTGCTGAGCATACCCTGCCATACACACTTTTGCCTGGTCTGAAATCTATGCTGACTGAAAGTGGCTCTTTGGGGGTTTCCAACAGGAGCCATTCCCAGTCCAAACTGGAGATGCTGGGGATGGATGGAACCTGGGACCTTCTGCATGCAAAGCAGATGCTCCAACACAGTCCTTCCCCTCCCTGTTTACCCACCCAGAGCAAGTGGGAGCTGCTCAGCTTTCGCAGCCTCCACTGCAGGCTGAGAGCCAAATGCCTCAGACCCTGAGGAGTGAGAAGGAAGCTGACATCAGAGCTGGCAGCATGCGTGCATACAGCTTATCCATTGGATCGCCATCGGAGCAACATCTGTTTTCTGTGTCTTCTTGGGCAAGGCGCCAAGCTTCTAACAATATGCAGCCTCATAGATCCATCTGTGCCCGGGATGTCTTATTTGCCTCCTGAAGCTCTCAGATGGCAACAGCTCCATGTGGGGACCCTGCAAGCAGCAGCAGCAGTATCTGCCACCAGCGCCATCCTGCCCTGCCTGATTTCGAAGAAGCCCCTCACAAGAAGGCTCATGAAAAGGAGGCCGCTCTGAGCAAAAGCTAATGATCTTTCTGGCTCGAAGAGCATTCTCTCCCCGAGGCAGAGGCGGCGCTTCCGCAGCCCACAGCCGCCAAGCCCAATCGCTGCAGACAGTGTTTTCGTAACCCCCACCACCTGGGTGGCAACCAGCACATCTGCTTCCTGGATGAACTAAAGCAGAGCTTGACCTTCCTGTTCTCCAGAAGGCAGCTCAGTCGGCTGCTAAAAAGAGGAGGGAGAGAAGAACTGAAAATGCAATTCAGATTTCTCAGCTATCTGCTCCTAGAACTTTAAAGAAGTTCCAGGTTTCACCTCGAAAGAAGTTCGCGCACCCACAGCTATGTCAGTCATGGAAGAGGTAGTCTCTTTCCTTCCACCAGGCACAGGCTCTGGATTCTGCTCCCTTCATCTGGATGCTGTCTGACAGCTGTCGGCAGCTGAGCAAGGTGAGCCAGGAGTTGAGTCAGAGCTGAGGAATCAAGCCAGGAAGGCTTTGCTACTCAGGCAGGATCCCAGCCCAAATGACAAGCCTTTTATAGGTCTTCCTGTCCAAGACAACCCAATGGGGTGGAGCCAATCCATAGCCTACTTTGCGGCCAGCAACTGTACTTCTCATAGGTTACAACGTGGGGCAGCTAGATACAGATTTCTGGTCCTAGCCCTGGCCTAGAAGTTCTTCCGGCCAATGTGGCACCCTCTAGAGGTTGTGGACTACGACTCACAGCAGCATGGTCAATGATCAGGGATGAAGTGGGGCACAGGTTCCCCAACCCTGTTTTAAAGGCAGGTGTCACATTTTCTGGGTCCCAAACCCCTCGGAACTCAGGACAACTTCACCTCATTTGCTTCAAATCAGAGAAGCTGGGTTCATCCTGGGAAGGGGGGAATAGATAGCACATAGCCAGTCCCCAGCAGTTCCTTCCTCAGGAGGCCATTTCAGGCTGGTTCTCTCCCTCTTTTTCATAGTTCTTTCTGAGGCTTAGATGCCATCAGGAGGAATCTGAGAGCTTGCAGCCTCTCATCAGCTCCACCCTTACCTATCTGGGCTGATGGGTCTAGCGCAGATATGCAGAACCAATGGCCTGCACATATAATTGGACTCAAAAGTTTGATCAGCGCCATTCAGAATGGGAAAATGTCAGGGACGATTGGGAGCTGGAGTCCAGCAACACCTGAGAGGGCCACAGGTTCCTCATGACTGTTCTAGTGGCTTTCTCTCCATGACTGGGAACAGCTTCCTTTCTGAAGCTGCTATCAGTGAACCAATCCAGGGTAGCTAGGTCACATAGAATGGCAACCTTCATTACTACAACACACTAAGGCCCAAGCCTAGGCATTTTTAGGGGAAGCAAATAATGCAGAAGCCAAGTGAAAGCATAGCAACTTAAAGGTTGCTTGTGAGAAAGAGGAGAGTGGCAGAAGTGATGCACTTCTAATGGATCCTTTAAGTTCCTCAGTAAGACATCTGGCTGGCCACTGTGAGAACAGGATGCTGGAGTAGGTAGGCCTTTGGTCTGATCCAGCAGAACTCTCTTGTGTTAAGGCAGACAAAGGTGAGAAGAATATCAGTGAATTGTGGTTACATACCCTCCCCATGACCCTTGCATGTTAGCCATCACTCACCGTGCTGAGTAAGGAGGCTAATGGAGAAAGTTCACATTATGGAGCCACAGACCTTGTTAAGCCATGAAGAACTGTTGGTCATGGGTTTATTTCATGTTTTTGGAGGAGACTTGGATGACGCTGGTCCCATAACACCAATTTCTCTGGGCAGTTTCCATATGAGGCTTCTGAAGCCACTCAAAGAGAGCTACAAATCCCTAAGAAGCAAGCCTGCTGAGGATGAGGTGGACCAGTGGCGGAGCTTCATGCTCCAGCACTGGGGAGCAGAGAGCAGGTGGGGGTGTGGCGCGCTGCTCGCAGGGGTGTGGTGCCCACACAGGCGGGGGGCAGTCACGATGGCACCCCACTGGGATCGTGCTGCTGGGGGCGGTGCGCTCCCCCCGCTCCCCTCTTCCTCTGCCAGTGGGGTGGACTCACCTATTTGGCACCCAGGTAATTTTGGCACCCAGGTAACTATCAATCACTGGGATGTGGGTGGCGTTGTGGGTTAAACCACAGAGCCTAGGACTTACTGATCAGAAGGTCGGCGGTTCGAATCCCCGTGACGGGGTGAGCTCCCATTGCTTGGTCCCTGCTCCTGCCAACCTAGCAGTTTGAAAGCACATCAAAGTGCAAGTAGATAAATAGGTACCGCTCTGGCGGGAAGGTAAACGGCATTTCCGTGCACTGCTCTGGTTCGCCAGAAGCAGCTTAGTCGCCGGCTCCCTCGGCCAATAAAGCGAGATGAGCGCCGCAACACCAGAGTCAGTCATGACTGGACCTAATGGTCAGGGGTCCCTTTACCTTTTTAACTATCAATCGGGCTGAAATTTTGAAGATTTTCATTGCCTACTCGAACCAAAATGTAACACTTAGAAACCACTGAGATAAAAATAAATAAACATCAAAAGTAATATGAGTTACCCCAAACCTCTACTTCAAGTGAAAGCATTGCCAGAAACCTTATCAAAAAAACACACCGAGCGTTCTTCTGGTTTTGTCCTTCAGACCTCAGTGAAAAGGAAAACATTGCTCTAACATGTGGAAGGGTTTGCTTTTGTGCTTCAACAACTTTTGCAGTAATAACAGTGAACTCTCTCTTCTAAAACAAACCATTGTGCTTTCCAATATATAAAGAAAGAAGGAAATTAATTCTGGCTGCAAGGATATTGGTTGATTAAGGAATACAAACCAGGGTTGCCAGATTATCAGGTTGGAACTGTCAACACAGAACCTTCAAATTATTGGATTTTGCTTCAAAATTCTCATGCCCATTGGTGGGGCCTAGGAACCAGGAGAAAACTAAATTCAGTTTGCATTTGAAGATGAACCAACATGATCTGCACTTTCCCAAACAATTCGTTAACTGAAACACAGCAGCGCTTCAAAATTTGTGCTCTCCATATTTCACAATGCATATTTCCAACCTATGGCTCACCCACACTTCCACTTTTCCCACCACTTTCCCCTGGGAAAACCTGCTATTTACTGCTGAATTGGGACAAATGTCTATGGCAATTTTTTATGTGATCTGCTGAGTATAATCATGCAAGGAAGTGGGGCTGCGTGCACTACACATTCTATGGTCATTCAGTGGTCATTCTCCACTTTCTTGTTTTTTTTGAACTCCACAAAAAATAGGTGCAAAACATTTTTGTTTAGTTTGGATAGAAGCCATCTTTCTGGCCGTAGTTCTATTCCTTCTTCAGTATGAAAGTCTTTCAATGAAAGTGAATTTATGCCTTTGCATCCATGACCGCCCTCCTGCCTCCGAGAATATGGTAACTTCTATTAATTTCTTTTGGCATAAGATAAACACAGGTGCTATATAGTCCCATCTCAAGGATCACTCTCTTCCCCAAACCCACCTTTAAAAAAGTAATAGCAACACTTCATCCAATATATTTGAATATGCAGGGCTGCAACTGTGCAAATTCAGCATGTACCAAGAAAACTTTAAACATGTAATTCAATGAAGATGTATGGGAACACATCGATACCAGTAACATAACACCACTTGGATGTTCCTTTTGATTAAGCAGTACATAAGCTTTCCTAACAAAATAGATCAACTCTTCAGTAATTTTGTACAGATTGGGATTTGGCCACAACAGATGATTGGCTCTCTGATGGTGATGTAGCAAGTCAACCCAGAATGCCTTACCTTTCAGTGCGCTCTTAAAAGGGACTGCCATGGTTGTTTTCGTCCTTGTCAAGTGATTGAAGATGTCCCTCTGAGAAGGCTCTAAGAGATCCTTTAAGAAAATATCCATTTGTCAGGCTTAATAAGTTACAGGTTGGCACACAGCAAACAGGATGCATTTCTGTTTCTTTTGCTCTCCCAGAAGCTAGGTGCAGTTTAGAAAGTCGCAAATGCCTGCCAGTAAACAGGGTGGTTGCCATAGAGCTGCTATATTGAAGTCCTGCTCAAGGAAATAAAGGCTCACGAGGGACATTGCTAGGTTCACAGACCATCTAAAATGAAGAGGCGTTTTATCATTCACTTCCATAATTATGAGGCACTTCAGTGCAAAAGTTTGTTCCACACAACACAAGGCAGTACGATATAACCTTAGCGCCTTTTCTATTAATGGTTGTAGTCAATGCCTCATGCAAAAACTATGATTCCAGAATGAAAGTTTATGCACATTGCCATAATTAATCAAGCTGCCCTTTGAGGACCAATGCGGTGTTACTAAACAGACTGTTCTTTACCTTCCCTGCGTCTCTTTTTCCATGCAATTTATCACCTCTTTTTAGTTCAGTTGCCATGTTGGCTAATGGAGCAATGCAAATTAAGACAGAGCAAAACAGAGCAATATAGCATGAAGCCCTTGGCCAGGCAGAGAGCCTTCTTGGTAGTGGCGCCCGCCCTGTGGAATGCCTTCCCATCAGTTGTCAAGGAAATAAACAACTATCTGATGTTTAGAAGACTCTGAAGGCAGCCCTATTTAGGGAAGTTTTTAATACTTGATGTTTTATCATGTTTTTAATGTTCTGTTGGGAACCGCCCGGAGTGGCTGGGGAAACCCAGCCAGGTGGGCGGGGTATGAATTAATAATAATAATAATAATAATAATAATAATAATAATAATAGACTGCTAGTGTCATCTGGCTCAGTACTGTCAACACCAGGGTTTCCCAAACTTGGGTCTCCAGCTGTTTTTTGGACTATAATTTCCATCACCCTCATAGCTAGGGATGATGGGAGTTGTAGTCCAACAACAACTGGAGATCCAAGTTTGGGAAACCCTGGTCTACATGGACTGACACTGGATTTCCAAAGTTTGAGGCAGAGGCCTTTCCCAGCCCTGCTTAGAGATTTCAAGGCTTGAACCTGGAACCTTCTGCATGCAAATCATGTGTTCTACCACTGAGCTACAACCCTTCCTGGTGTCATGAAGCATATGGTACCTAAGGAAGGCTCTCTCTTCTTTTCTGACTATCAGGTGCAATGGGAACTTCAAGTCCCTCTGGAAGAAACCCTCTCATGTGTTATCGTGCTAGTAGGAGTTGTTTTCTCCTGCAAATAGAATTAGGAATCAATACTCATGCAGCTGTTGTTCTGCCCTGCTCCTTGAGGCTCCCTTGGTGTAAATCATTGTGGCATCCTCATATCACTCTCCAACATAGCATTGTAGATTATTGCTAGGAGCTGGGATTATGACATAGTTGGCACAGTAATCCAGTTATATTATTCCTCCATTTTAGGGATCTTGCATCCTGCAGCTCTGCTGGCTAAGTTGCCTTCAAGCCTTGGTGGAATTAAAAGATTTACAACTGAGAACATGTTGTGTCAGCTACCAGGCAACTGCAGGGTAGATACATGGAAGAGTTGGGCACATGGGAGCCTAAGTGAGAGTTTCGTTATGCTTTCTAAGGATGTGCCTGCATGGAAGCTTCCTGCACTGTCAGTCTGTGGTGTGTTAAAGTGTACAAAGCATCATTTGAACAATCATACCCTGTTGAGAAGATTTAGCAGAATTCCATCAATGCAGATGCTGCAAATGTCCCCTTTCACTTGGGTTGATGAATGGGAATCAGCCCTGTTGTTTTGCAGATTGAGGTGGTGGTGGGGCCCAGCCCTATGAGCTCAACAAAAACTCAATAACACTATGACTTATGTAAAACAGGCTGGCAATTTCTTCCAAGTTTGGTTGGCATTGGCAGAAAGTGAAGATGAGAAAAGGAGAGGAACAGAGATGGGCAGGAGGCAGAGAGCAGTGAAAGGGAGTTTAGGTGGATAAGAATTAGACAGATGGTGTGGTGGGAAATTGCTGATGAAGAGTCCCAGAGGAGCAGGCAAAAGCAGGTGAAGAGAGAGTGCCCAAAACAGGCAAGAGGACAGTGAGAGAAAGCTGGTGTATACCGAGTCAAGCCACTGGTCCATCCAGTTCAATATTGACTCTGTTCTGATAATCAGTAGCTCTCCAGGGTTTCAGACAGGGGCCTCTCCCAGCTTTATCTGGAGATCCTGGGCATTCAACTTGGGACCTTTTTCATATAAAGGATATGGTTTTTTTATGGCACACCACAGAGTTATGGCCCTCTCCCTTAAGAAAATGGACAAAGCTCTATGGAAAAGCAGGGGAGGCAAAGGACAAAAGGTTGAGAGCTAAAAGAACCATAGAGAATGGGGCAGGGAAGGAAACAGGAACAGAGAAGTAAGTTCCCAGTTGGCCAAGATGATGGAACAAGAAAGCAGTCTGTGACTGAGCATGGCAACCTATATGGCAAGAGGTTCTGTGGGGCCCACCAGAGGCCTTGACCAAGGAAGATTTATACCTAGTGTTGGGGTTGTCCAACAGGGGCTTATAGAAGGGCGTAGCCCAACTGTACCACAAACGCCAGCAAACTTATTTGTTGAATTGGCAACCTGGCCTTAGAGTGTTGTTATAGCCCACAGGGGACATTGTGAAGTGGGTAGTGCCAAAGTGCTACTCCCTATCAAGTTGGTGGTACCCATGAGCCTCTGCAGGAATTATCCCAGAGAGGTAAAACACTGAAAGGGGAGGAGCATGCTAGTTTCAAAAAAAAGATAGGAGAATTACTGCCTGTACATTTTGCTTCATATCTGAGGTTCTAAAAATGTTAGACACTTACTCTTTTTTTTTTTGTAAAATGATAGGAATCTGGGGATTATGGGTTATGGGCAGGGAGCACCTGCCCACTTTATCTATATCTTTATCTATTTATATCTTTATCTATTTATCTATCTATTTATAACCCACAGATGCCCATGACATCTAACCTCCCTAACATTTCAATGCTACTATAATTCCTCCTCAAACCCCTGTTGGACTGAGCATTGTAAATGGTATGTTTCTGCAGGAGATATTTCTGTTCCTGTTGCTGCCAGGTTGGAAGCAATCCGAGATAAATGGTTTTCTAACAGGAATACTGAAAGAGTCACTGTGGGGGAAGGTTCCCTGAGGTGAAATCAAGGCTGTCAAAGCAAACAATGATGCACTTTTTTGGCATCCTCAGAAGAAAGAGAGAGAGAGAGAGAGAGAGAGAGAGAGAGAGAGATGCCTCTTGTAGATCTAGATTAAGTCATCCTCTTGGCAGGCTCACAGCTCACACCGGAACTGTGCATGCGACGCTGTACAGTGTGGGAGTCACAAACAACTGGCAGGGGGTCAACTAGGGAAAAGACAATGCAAGAAACCACAAAGGCCAGGGCTACTTGGATTGGTTTGAAATCCAAGGCTCCAAGTCAACATCCCTCCTTGTGTCAGGAGTCCATTGGAAGGCTGCCACTCCAAGTGGCTGGACACTCTGTAACAACATCCTCTCTCCTTTGTTTTCCTGCAGCCTCTTCCTCACTTTCATTTCCTCTCTGCATTCGTTTCAGGGGCATGGTGCAACCCAGAGACACAGGCACTGAAACTTTGTTACCTGCTAGCCGTTACCTGCACCACTGCTACTAATATTGTTGAAGTATTGTGATTTCTCCACATGGTAGGAAGCTCCTGAGGCAAAGCAGTTACGCAAGTTTGGTTCCCTTTGGAAGGTGGTCACTAGAGTCTAGCTAGCATTTTGTATAATTTATTTGCAGATATATAGATTGAGTAGAGTTGGAGCCCCAGTTTGCACATGACAGCAGATAGCCAAACTGTTGTCCACTTCAGATCTCCAAAGAGGTGCGTCCCAAAGCTGCTTACAGAACCCAAACTCACCTCTCTGCCCTCTTGGTTCTCTCAGCCTTTCTTCTTCCCGACTCCAACTGCAGCTTCTGTCAGGAGAAGAAAGGCATGTCACTTTTCATGACCTTCCAGGTATTTTACTTTCAGAACAATGCAAGGTGGTCTTGTATTAAGAAGCAATCATCTAACAATTATCTCCCATGGAGACACATCACCTGAATACCCTGAGCTATTAACATTCCGATCCTAGGTGTCCAGGCGCTGCTTTAAGGCAGGGGTGGGAATTGGATCTAGCCGGTGAGCCAGATCTCAACCTCCCGCAAGTCCCGTGGGCTATTTTGACAGGTGGGCCTGTCAACCACATGTCAATCACTTAATGTCACCATGTCAAGTAAAGTGTTTAGCTTTGCTTATATGGCATGAAATCCAACCACGCAGTGAAAGACTATGGGGTTTGCAGGTGACACTAGTCACGATGACCACCTCAGGTGGCAGGACCCACAGGGGCAGCAGAACCTGATGTCTTTATCTCTCCCCCACCCCACCCCGTTCCTGGCAGGGAAAGGGGGTGTCATTTTGTGGCTCACCTCAGGTACCAAAATGTATTGGACCAGCCTTGGCTCAGATCATAATGACCATTATTTAATCAGGCCACAACTAGCAATTTCACAATTCTCTATTTAACATCAGGCAAGCTGTAACTTTCATCTTCGGGGAAAAACCCAAGAGGAACCATGTGCTGCTGATGCATAGATGAGGATGAGCACAGAGTGAGGGTGGGTCAGGAGCATGTGGATGGATGAAGGGATGAGTGTGAATGAAAGGTATATATATGTGTGAATGGAAGGTATATGGAGCTTTGGCCCCACCCTCTGTTGGCATGTCAACTCTGGAAGGTAACGTATGGCAGGAATGCAGTCCTCAGGCTGAAGAAGTCTCCCCACCCCTCATTTAGAGGATTTTGTATCAGGGATTAACTTAGTCAAAGGGTACTGATTATTTCTGGGAACAGAACCATCTGAAGCATCCGCCCGCTGTAAATAAAGCAACATTGCTCCCCCATCTATTCGTTGGGATGTGAAGCGCATGGTCTCATAGAGAGAGGCAGTGTCATCAACTGAAGTGCTGCCAAGTGCTCCCTTGACTTCCAGCATTCCTGGAAGTGAATAAGTTTTTCCTTCTCTTTACTGCCATCGTGAGCCGCAAAGACATTTGTTCTTTCCTTTGTTCTGGGTTAAGGGGGGGAACTAGCAGGAGACAATGCAACAGCACGTTGCTATGAACCACTGGGCGGAGATACAACCAGTACATGTGCGTTTGACTACTGTTCCAAGGAAGGGATATTTGGCAAAGCCCCGTTTGTATCTTTGAAGGATATGCTAGTGAATGATTTGTTCTGAGATCACCACCTACACAGCCAGGATTTCTGTCTGTACACACAGGCGTGACTGGTTGGCCGTACAGCCCTGGAGCCTTGCCTCTTCTTCCTTCCTTCCCTGGGCAGTCTCCCTTCCTCTCAACCCAAATGCCTCCAGGCTGCATGTCATTGACAAGCAGCAGTTACCTCATGAATCAGACACTCCCATGCTCAGACCTTGGGCTCTTCCAAAGGAAATTCCTCAGTGTGGAGCACAGGGGGGATGTCTGACTCAGGGTGATCCTGTGGGGTTTGGAATGGACTATGGGAAAGTATCCCAGAGCACCTGCCATGTTAAGCCAATCCTATTTTCACCCAAGTTATGACAAACACCTAACAAAAATGGCTTTTTTTTACTGAGAAAAAAGCCACAAAGGAAACCCCACCTCACAACCAATAGACAATGGTGACTGAGAGTAAAATTCTCCTTTGGCCCAGAAAACCAGCCGCCATTTGAAGCTTCAGTGAAGAGACTCTAAACTGAGAGAGGGTGAGTTGGGGAAGCTTGATGAAGGGAAAGACCATGACAAGCCCTTTTGAAAAGGCCAGCATTCTACCCACAAGGCCACACAAGTGCAAGGCAAGGCCTTGTGAGATCACACAAAAGACCAGGAGGGCCCCTTGCAATTGGAGCTAGCAGCACCGTCCCACAAATTGGTCCCCGGTGCACAAAAGAACACAGAACCATGAGTTAAAAGTATGATGTGGAGGTGACCATAGAGTCAGAAGGGGGCCTTGTAGGCCACCAAGTTCATCTCCCTGCTTGATACAGAACTGGATCCTCTCCAACAGATGACTGTCCAGCCTCTGCTTGAAGACCAGCTTGCATTAGGGAAGCAGGATTTCAAGTTTTGCAGAATTTTGATCCAGTTACATACATGAAGATGGGAAAAGACTGGAGTAAACATGGATATAAAAATGAGAATTTTCTTTAAGGTGATTGCAGATATCTTGAGGTGGTTGGAGACTGCAGGCTATTAGTTGACAAGGACCATTAAAGACCCGGATTTCCCAGGATCAAGGATGTCAGACTACCTATTTCCTCCTAAGATGCTTCCTGCATTCTTGAGTGCTTTGGCCAGAGTAGAAACTTGGAAAGTGGCCTACCGGACATGCCCTAAATATCTGAGATTCCCCACCACCACCCCTCCATTAAAAAGGTGAAAATAGAACAAATGGATTCACCATATAATCTTAATCAGTATTTTAAAATATGTAATACTGTCCAATATGTAAAACTAGTTGTACAAATGTGCACACATGTAAGCCAGCAATTAAAATCTGGCTAAAATTTCTGAAAGTTGTATTATCTTTTTCTGTCACAGTAGGAATCAGTATGTGGGGTTCACCTGACTCCTTCTCATGCAATGAGACTTGTACCCTTTTCTTCACCCCATGTACACACTGATATTGGCTCTGGGCAGGTCAGGAGAACCCCCAAAACAAAGTGTTAAAGCTTAGAGAAGATTTCCCTGTAAGCTGAAATGCTTGAGCTGTCAGAACGATCAACTTAATGCAATGCTGAGTTCCTCCCAGTGACTATTGAAAGTTGCCCAAAAAAGATATTTGCTGCACAATGAACTGTTTTCGCCATAATTATTGTTCAGCATCTGGGACTGGCTCTGATGTGCAGGTGCTAATTTGAGGGATAGTCCCGGTTCTCTCTCAGTCATCTTCTTGCGACTAACCAGAAAAGGGGTGTTCTTTTTCACACAAAGCATCTACAGCGTTTGAGGAATGGCAAGGCTGTGAGAAGGTCCTAAGCAGCCAGGAAAGCTGATAACCACTGGTTACGCTAATCATCCAAATGTCACCTTGGTCACATTTCAAAGTGGAGACTGGGCCAAAAATACAAGAGGCAGAAAAGCATTTTGAGGCTCTTCCCGCAGTCAGTTCCAAAATAGAGGAGGAGGTGTGTTTGTGGGTGTGTGGAAGAGGAAGGTGTCTTTGTTGCTTTGGGTATCATGGTAATCAGAGTTTGTGGGAGTCAGGTTTGTGGTAGTCTTGGCTGTGCCAAAAAAATAATTTAATCTTAGGAAAATATTTTTTTATACCAATAGGGACATCTGAGGCTCGTTTCTTTCCACATTCCACTTTGATTGTTTTGGATATCTATACAGAGGTCTTTGCCGTTGAGGGTGCCCACTCTGATACACAGAAGGTCAGTCAGTCAGGGTATAAATAGCCAAGCCTACCTCACAGGGATGCTGTGAGGATGAAATCGGGGTGGAGAACCATTTATGCTATCTTGAGCTTCTTGGTGGTGAGACATAAATGGCATAAGTAATTAAGAAGGTCTCTAGTTCTATCAAAGCATCAGATTTTTGTCTTACAAAGACCTTTTGAATCCACACACCATCAGAATCTGAATTTTCAAAACTGGGAGCTCATCCCATTTGACCCTCCCCACGCCAGTTCAGCTGTAGTCCAATTTGTTGGTGGGAAATGTGGACAGAGTAGAATCCAATGGCAATATACAACCCCTGTATAATACCTGAATTGCCATTTAATCTCCATAATGTGTTTGTGATGCAGATTGTAGGGCCATAACTATTATCTGCTATGTAGCCACTGACCTCTGAGGATATCTGTGAAGATGAAGATTTGATACATACATGTGTATACTTGCAAATATACATGCACTTACACAATGGAGTGGCAATGCCAATTGCCAAAAACAGGTAGCTTGAAAGTAAACAGCAAATGCAATTCCAAAACGATGAGTTGACATGTTATTCCCTGAACATACGTGAACTCCAGCGGAATGCAAGCTCAGTCATAACTGAATCCAGTATAAACAGCTTTGTATAATCCCACTGGGGAAAGCTTTGGCTTGATAGGAGACATAAGCAACTGCTTACCTGGTGTGTTTTAGTCATCCCTCCCACCAAAGGCTCCATAAGGAATTGTCACTGTGGCTGAAGTTTTGGAATAAGGCATCAAGCTTAGGCAGTAATGTGATACTCTGTCAACAGAGGAGAAGGCCATCGTTTGAATTCCCGGTGAAGATTTGTACTCATGATCTAAGCTCCATCCTGGATATTTGAAAATTGAACTTTACACTTTCAGGAAAGGAACAGCCAACCTAAGCCAAAGAGCCATCATATGAATTGAACCCAAATGTTAACAGGGCAACCTCAGGTTTCTGCAATTTCCTCTGTGACAAGGTAAGAAGACAACATGTTGCAGTTGGGTTGATTCCGACATCATGACACTAAGGTTGGTTATGCACAAACCTGTTGGTTGCACGGAAAATGTAGTTTTTCCTCAGTCAGGAATCATTCATGCTGAACATGCTGTTTTCCATCTAGATTGATTCTAGACAGGGGTGGAGGAAGGGGGTGTGGTGGGGGCGGGCCACCCTGGGTGTCACTACTGAGGGGGGTGATAAAATGGTGGGCGGCATTCACCATGGGGCCTGCTGTGTGGCCGAGCCACGCGTTTCTCCTGGGAGTGAAGCGGTGGCTTGGCGCCCACAGGCTCCGCACTGCCCCAAACGGGGCAGTGTCTCCCCCTCAGCTGCCTCCCCCTCAGCTGTAGGACAGACTCTTCAGAGGCCCCGCAGAGCGTCCTGCCCTGGCTTGCCCCGTCCCGTGGGTGGTTGGCCCCGCCCCTGGGCACAGGATACGCACACCTCCCCAGGTGCCCAATCAGCTTGCTCCACCACTGATTCTAGATCCTGCGATCCATAAGGGTGTTAGGGCTGAGTGATGTCCGGTTTTCAACATCATGATATATCACCAGCTAAACATCACAATATACCAATATATGACAATGTCTGAAATCAGGATGGAACTGTGTGGAAGCGAATGGGGCAATGTCCTGACAACTGCTACTACCCAGGAGTCTAAAACAGAGATATTTTTACTTACATTTAACATATTGTTCCAACTGTTATTTTATAGTATAGAGCAACAGAGATGGCAGGAATCATAAGAGAATCATGATTTTCCCCCCACGTCATGATTTTTTACATAGCACACACAAACACATTGTGATTTGCAATATATCGCCATGCCAAATATTATGAAACTGTTACCATGATGTGGACTTCAAACCAATTTTGGATGATATATCACCCAGCCCTAAATGTTAGTTTTTCTCAATTTGGGATCACTCATGCTTGGTACAGAAGGACCACCCTCCCTGTTTTTTCAGGATGTATAAGAAGCTTCTGCGAAAGAGTCTAGGTGTCAGACAGGAAGTAAGGACTATGGTCACATCTTCACCTCCCCCCCAAAAAAAACCCAGACTCCTGGTGATGTTGATGATGATAATTTTATTATTTATACCCTACCCAACTGGCTGTAGTTTGTTAAGGTGGCTGGGAATTGTAGTTCTGTTCCCAGTTCTGTTCCCAGGATTCTTTGAGAGAAACCATGTGCTTTAAATATATTGTGTGGCTGTGTTGCGGACCTTCCAGTAGGAAAAATGGGTACAGGGTCTGCAAAAACAGATTCCCCCACCCACTGACTCTAGGCCCGATAGGTACACACAGAGTGTCCTCATTACATAAAAAGGAAAAGCTGCTTATTTTGAGGGAAGGGAACAATATTCTGTGTATACGTAAGTTTAAGAATTAATGGGATAATTGCATTTTTTAAAAAAAAACCTCTCCCACTATGAAAAGCTGGGCCACCATGTCTCCTGTGAGTATCAAAGATGTCTGGAAAGCTACTCTAGGGATGCACAGTTCCTGTCTGCATTTGTAGGAAGCCTCTCTCTCGGCCACAGATGAAGTCGATGAAGTCCTTCATTCAATACAGATATATTTTTAGAATTGTGAGCAAAGAAGAGGGTCGTGCTGTTGACAGATGCAACCTTGCCTCAGCTCCGAAGCATGATGTCAATTTTATTGCATTCCCTGATAATCCCTCACTCCAACCAGCACATCAGCATTAGCAGCAAGTCAGCACTCACTAAAAGCAATGATGCACTTTATGCTGGGGCTCTGAGATTCCTCTGGCATTTGCTCTGCAATCTAGATTCTTGCCAGCGCTTCTCTTTCCATGAGCTCACACTATAAACATTTTCACACACCCTTCCCCTAATGCAATGTTCAGTACAATCAGGCAGAAGGGGGCTCTTTTTCATTGACTGATGCTGAAAGGTGGTGGACGAGGAAGGCAAGGTTGGAGCAGGGCAGGAATAGTATTTCCTGCTCAGCTAGCTTGCCAATCAACACTGGAGGCCAGCAGAGCAGGGACATGTCTTTCTAACTAGCTGCGCTTGCCACCTGAGTGTGAATGAATGCAACCTTCAGCCATCCAAGTGGTTCTCTGAAATACTGCAGCAGTCAGGGAACTGGTCAGCCCCCTGTTACTTAATGCAGCCAGGGGGTGACTTAAGAGAAAGAAGAGAATTTGCTTGCTTAAATAAATACAGAACAATACAACACCAGTTGAGTAGCAGAGCAAAAGAAAAGCGTAATAGCTCAGATGGAATGGGGTGGAAGATGGAGAAACCTACTAAATTTTGGGCATGCTGTTTGATGTGCAAACACAGTGAGCAGTTTAACCCAGATTATTCAGTTAATAGTTTGTCTCTCAAAGGGAGCTGGATCAAGCAACACACATATCGCTACAAGTTATAAAGGAGAATCATATGATGAATTTAGCAGCAAGAGGTCTAGCTGCATGGAGAGTTGGGCTGTTTCCATGCTAGAGTCCTTCTTCTTACCTGGATGAAGCAAAATTAAAAGAGGTCACACAGACTCGCCTATGAAAGAAGACTCAGAAATATGTCCTATTGAATTCAATGGTGTTTCTTCTCAGGAAAACAGGAGCAGAATATGCAGCCTTAACTTATAGCCGTATTATCCAGCAATGACCCTTTCCCATAGTAAAATATCCTCATATAATGCTTACTCAGTAAACTCCATTCAGCAAAGTTCCCCAGCAATGTTAGTTAACAGTTTCTTCTTTGCAGGCTCAACCCACTTTATTGCTTCCCTCAGCTGAGGGCTAAACTAGATGTGTGTGATGAGCATTTTTCTTCTTCAAATGAATAGTTGAGCTCTTCAAGATGACCTGGCTTTGGAGCATTCATCCTGATTTGTTTTCAAAGAGGTTAGATGACATTGCTTCAGAACCAATGTTATCCCACACTTTCCAGCACATTTTCCCATCAATTTCCTTATCATAAAAGGTCTGATCCTCTTGAGAAGTTGGTCAACCCTAATTGCACAGCCTGGATTTGCCAGGAAGTGATTGAATAGCAGCAGTCTGGAATCAGCCCTGCTCACAAGGTAGGCCCAATGTCAGCTAGTAGAGTTCTGAAGTGGTTCTACTCATAACTCCAGGGATGGTTCCAGAATGTAGCACTGGTTGGCTAGGATCATGTGGGCATCAGGATGAATTCTTTTTCAAGAAATACCCCCAAAGCATATGTTATCTGTGGAAGTAAAAAGGGCGCAAGCTGGCAGCAAAATAAAAGGAAATGTCTTTTGCTCTCCAAGTCCCCTTTTTGCACCAAAACTGTTCACCTGCAAAACAATTTGGCATGGCATGAATTGAAATAACCACTCACAACTTGGGCAGATTACATATAAAAACAGTTTTAGCTTTGGAAACCATCTAGTCAAGAACCAACGAATAGAGAGAGAATCCTTTCCTTTTGGTGCTGGGTGCCCTCTCTGCTAGACATTGGCACTGGAGCTTGGGAGACAATGTGCGCAGAGTCAGACAAAGTGGATTTAGAGAGCAGGCAGCAGAGCTGTTAAGCTTTGGGATCATTCTCCCTGTGTCATCTCTGCGACCCATGTTGGTCCAGTTTAAGCACTAGCATGATGATCGCATGATTTCATTCCTGAAGCTTTTCCAATTTCTGTTTGTTTATGAAAAGAATTCTCTTGACAACACTGTTTCCAAATGAGTGTTCAAGGCTGGGAGGACTTGCTGGAGTTCCATCACATATGATGACAGCAGCTAGGTGTGTCCCCGTGTGTGCGTCTAGGTTTTGTGTGAGGGAGTCTGAGAATCAGGAAACTCAGTGAGGAAACTAGAAGGACTGGTATGTGCTCTCTGGGAAAGGCAAAGTTCGCACTTTGCAAGGCTTCCAGGATTTTTGTTCCTGGACAGGATGAGATAAGCTCATCTCCAGGAAGCATGATTCACCTCTGCGGTGGAAATGTATTTAAAGAGTTTATCTTGATAAATAATGGCTGGTATAAAAATACCTTCCTCCTTAGCCATCTCCAAGCACCACCATGGCTAGCCAAGAAGCAGCAGTCAAGCATCTCTTTCGCTTGTCCAGATCTTTTGCTGAGCAGTTTCCAAATTGCAATTCTCTGCTCTTCAGGGCCTCAAGGCAACTGCTGGGTGGTAGATCTTCTTGAACTGAATGTATTGACACAGAGACGGTGTCACTGGCTTCATTAGGGCACTGAAACAAGACAGAAGTCCCAGGAATCTAATATTCAGCCCTCAAAGTTTCCATGCATGGACTTGAAAATAGCCATCAAACTTCTCTCACACATTCCTTACGTGGGGTTGTGCTGTCAGACTGGAAGACACTGGTCACTCAGATGAACATTCTGGCCAGTGTAGATTTGACATTCATCTTCAGAGAGATGTAGGCAAAAAGGAATCTGCTGGAGGGTTCGCATGTGTAAAAAGCACCACTAGAGTCATGTGGCTCTTGAGACCCGACTGTCCTCGTAAGTGCGCCATTCATAGGAAATGGCTGCAAAACACATGTGGAAGGTCGGAGATAGCCGAACAGCTCTGTTTACATCTGGAATGCCAGAGAGTTCACATGGCTAGAAGGGCTTTTGTGTGGCTTGTCTGTGGTTTCCCAAACAGAAAGAGAGGAGGGCTGGCTGCTGGCGAAGAACCACCACCTTGCTCTTTTACAAAAAAATGTACACAGTCCCTTTTGCCGGGTTGCTGCCTGCAGAGGAGATGCTGGATTTCTTCAGCCAAAGGATGTGTCATTGATGAGACATGCTGCTAGCAACTTTGAAACCTAATGCCAAACAGAAAGCAATGACCACACCAATCCGGCATAATCCAGAAGTTGTGCAGCCTTAGGAAGCTGCTTTATCCTATGCCACACTATAAGCCCATTGAGCTCAAGATTGTCTACATTGTGTGTGTGTGTGTGTGTGTGTGTGTGTGTGTGTGTGTGTAATCTGTGGCCCTCCAGAGGTTGTTAAACTACAACCCCTATCACTCCTGAGCATTGGCCATGCTTGCTTGAGGCTGAGAGGAGTTGCCAGACATGGACCCTGGGACCTCCTGAAAACAAGGCAGGTGTTCTACCACTAACTTACAGCCCCTTCCTAAAAGGCAAGGGCTAATTACTTAGGCAGCTGGGCAAATGGTTTTATAATGAATATATCAGGGATGTGGTGTTTTTGCAGTGCAGCTCCCATCATCCCTGAACACTAGCCCTGGTAGCTGGGATTGGTGGAAGCTGGAGCCCAAGCTGTTCACAGAAGCACAGAACTGCAAAGTTGGAAGGGACCACAAGGGTAATCTAATCCAACCCCCTGCAATGCAGGAATCTTTTGTCCAACAAGGGACTCAAACCCCCAGCCCGGAAATTAAGAATCTCATGCTCTACTGGCTGAGCTATCTCCTACTATATTGACGAAGCTCAGGTTCCCCATCCTTTAAACATGTATATTATAGCTCTTCCCAGAAAATACCATAAGATTCAAAATAACTCAAGTGAAATGTTCCACCACTGTTTCCTCCTCCTCCTGCTGCTTCTTCAATTGGGCTTGCTTGAGTAAGAGGCTCCATCCTGAGGCTGCCTTTGATCCTTGCAGCTGTTTCAACTCACTGGGGATATACTGACAGACCACATTCTAAAGCTTGTCTGCTGTTCAAGAATATGCCATGATTCGATCCCTCCAGTGATTGGAGGAGGGAAATTATTGCAGAGAACATCTGGGCATGCCTGCCTTGCATATGTAGACAGGATTACCATCACACTCCCCAAAAAGGCCACCAGGGATTGTAAAGGGGTAAAAATAGTCAGAGAGGGAAGCAACAGGAACCATTCTGTGGGTGTCTGTTATAGACCTCAAAGCCAGACCAAAGACCTGAATGATGCCTTCCTAGAGCAATTACCAAACATTCAAAAAGGAGAGATATAGTAGTCATGGGAGACTTCAACTATCCGGATGTGTGTTGGAACTGAAACTCTACCAATAATGCAAGGTCCAACAAATTCCTCCATTGCCTCGCTGAGGATTTCATTTCCCAGAAGGTGGAAGAAGTGACAAGGGGATGAACTATCTTGGACCTGGTTCTCACCAACAGGGAGGAACTGATCAACAAACTGGAAGTACTAGGAAACCTGGGAGGAAGTGATCATGTCCTCTTGGGTTTCATCACACAGAGGCAAGGAAAAGCTGAGTGTAGTCTGACATGCACACTGGACATTCAGGAGGCTGATTTCAAAAAGCTTAAGGAACTACTGGGTGAGATCCCATGGTCTAAAATACTCAAAGAGAAGGGAGTCCAAGATGGATGGAAGTTTCTTAAGGGTGGAATGTAGAGGGCACAAAGGCAGACACACCTGACAAGAAATTAAAGTGGGAGGCATCTAAAGAAACCAGAGTGGCCACATAAGCAGCTTACAGATGAGCTGAGATGTAAGAAATGAATGTACAGTGGTACCTCAGGTTAAGAACTTAATTCCTTCTGGAGGTCTGTTCTTAACCTGAAACTGTTCTTAACCTGAAGCACCACTTTAGCTAATGGGGCCTCCTGCTGCTGCTGCACCGCCACTGCACAATTTCTGTTCTCATCCTGAAGCAAAGTTCTTAACCTGAGGTAATATTTCTGGGTTAGCGGAGTCTGTAACCTGAAGTGTATGTAACCTGAAGCGTACGTAACCCGAGGTGCCACTGTATAAGAAATGGAAGAAAGGAGAAATCAGAAAGGAGCGCGCGCACACACACACGCCCCAACTTAATGGGCATTGCCATTCAAGTGTGTGGGGGGGTGCCATGTCATGTGAGCGATTACGTGGAGCAGTTCTTACCTCCAACCCCCCCCCCAATATTTTATTCAAGTTAGCACCTCTGGCTATACATAGGAATGCCATGCAAGGCACTTATATTTTCTTGACAGCAGGTTTCCATCTGTTTCTGCTGAGCTAAGATGGATTTTATGGAACAGCCACTGGAAGGAAACCAAGCTTCACTTGGAAATACAGCGGAGTTCAGGTGGGGGTCTGATTTGCAACTTGATCTGTGACGATGAAGGAGGGCTGTGAAATCAGGGCAAACAGGACTGCAGCCTGAAATGCTTAATAAGAGGCGTTCAGTGGGAAGCGAGCCCCGTTTCCCGAAACTGGAGCCTGCGAGTCTAAATGGAGTTCAAAACGCCTCCTAAGTAGAGCCAGGCTGTGGGTCTCAGCCTTGCAATCCTGCACACTCCTCCTTCACACAACTGCCTGGTTCCAATTTGCTCCTTCCCACTTGGCTCCTTGCTCCAAGAAAGCTCAGCAAAATCATCTTCCTCCCCCCCCATCCCCCATCACTGCACCGATGACCCAAAGGGAGCAGTGAGAGGGCTATGAGAAAGGGTGGAAACAGCGACTCTTGCTCAGTTTTGTCATGGATTTCCTGTCAAGAACTTCTGCAGCAGCAGCCAAGGAATGTAGGCACAGGCCAAGAGTGACCCCATATTGTGGCTCCACCCGGCTCCGCATCTACTTGTACTCTCGTCTCCCCGCTCTGTTCCCTCCTCTTTCCGGGCAAGTGAAGCTCTGGCGGGGAAGGGCTGCCTTATTCTTTTCCACTTCTCGCACTTAAATTGATTCCTGGAGCCATTTCAAAGGAGTTCTTCCAAAAAGGACTCTGTGCCAAAAGTAGCCATTTTCTAGCATGCTCCTCCTGCCTTTGCAAAGGAAAGAAGGGTTGTGGCTCCCTCTGCTGGTAAGACAAGAACTGGCTGCTTGAAGCATAAGATTCTGTAAACAAAAGTCTATACAGTACCACTGATAGGGAAAGAGGAGCAAAAAGTCCCCTTGATCTGGCCCGCTTGGACCACTAAATACACCTTCTCTACCCCCTTCTCTCATTACAACCCTTTTCCCTCTTCTATTGTCTGTTCATTAAAAAAAAGGCAAGTAGCTAAATACAGAAAATATTAACTATAGAAAAGGTCTGTATGAAATTTGTATTGATGCAAGTAGGCATTTACCTGCATACATTCTCATTTTCTAGGCTTTCCTTACTCTTTCTCCTGCTGTGTCTCAACTTGGATACTGCGCGATCTGTGACAACTGGAACATTTTTGGCTTACTATCTATCTGCTTTATGTGATCCCCAAGCTAAGGAGATAAGTAACTAAACAACGTTTAGAAGACCTCTGAAGGCAGCCCTGTATAGGCAAGATGTTTAATGTTTAATTATGTTTTTATATACAGTGGTACCTCGGGTTAAGAACTTAATTCGTTCTGGAGGTCCATTCTTAACCTGAAACTGTTCTTAACCTGAAGCACCACTTTAGCTAATGGGGCCTCCTGCTGCCACTGCGCTGCTGGAGCATGATTTCTGTTCTCATCCTGAAGCGAAGTTCTTAACCCGAGGTACTATTTCTGGGTTAGTGGAGTCTGTAACCTGAAGCGTCTGTAACCCGAGGTACCACTGTATGTTGAAATCTACCCAGAGTGGCTGGGGCAGAGAGAGAAAGAGAGAGAGAGAGAGAGGGAATGGAAATGATTAAATGTTTATTTTCTGTACAAAAAGAGTCGATGGCCTGTGGCCCCCAGGAAAGATCCAGCCCACCAAGCCACTAGAAATGGCCTGCCACCCCTGACAGCTTTGTCTTTTAAAATCATCTTCCCACTACATAAGAGTAACAGGTAGCATTTCTCCTCATCCCAGTATTGGACAGTGTACCTGCACAGACTGTATTTCTGAAGTGCCTATATAAATTTCGGGGTGCGGTTGCCTTAAATTGTTTTTCAGTGTTAAGTGTTAATTTGGATGTTTGCATTTGTATCTGTGGGCTGTTTAGGGGCCTTTGTTGGGGAGTGTATTTTTAATTAGTTTGTATACATTAGTATCGTTAATTGTTTTAATTATTTTTATTATGTATTTTGTGCTTTTATATTGTGTTGTGAACCACCCTGATACCTTCGGGTATAGGGTGGCATACAAATAATAATAATAATAATAATAATAATAATAATAATAATAATAATATAATTTCTACCCCACCCATCTGGCTGGGTTTCCCCAGCCACTCTGGAAGGCTTCCAACAAAATATTAAAATACAATCATTCATCAAATATTAAAAGCTTCCCTAAACAAATATTAAAAGCATCCCTAAAATAATGATGTTGATGATGTAGATACCGCTGCCCAAATCAAAGATTGTTTGTTGGATGTAAGGAAAACCGAACTAGGAATAAGACTTGCACCCACTTAAAACTGGAAGTGTGTCAAAGTTTCCCTTCTATTTTTGACCCTTGAGCCACTTCGCGAACCCTGCCCCACCCTATTCTTCCTCTAAGAAGTGTAGTGTGAAGGACATGAGGCGAGGCTCCCTCATCACCTTCCTGTCAAACCATGACGGCTTCTATTTCTATTATTACACAGGAAAGCCCGTCCAAGCTTTATTTTTATTTTTTTAATTTTTAAGTTCCCACAGCAGCCCAAGTGGAAGTGAGATAAAGGCTATTTAGTTCCGACCCACTCATAGCATCACAATGGGAAAGTGTGGCTTCTCAACAGCCGGGAGCCTAGATACACAGCAAAGGGTATAAAAAGCTGCAGAGGGTGCTATATTTATCTGAGCTTATTAATAGACTTTTTCTGGTCTTGAGGAAATTAATTGCATTTCCAAGAAACAGTAAATGACTTTCAGGAAATAATTCAAACCAGCAAGCAAGCGGAAGAATTCTCCACACCCAATAGGGCTTTGGTCGGCCAAAATTGGGTGGCTTTAAAAGAAAGAAAGAAAGCAAGCACTGTATTTACTGTATTTACTATGTAGTGAAGCCAACTCTCTCCAACAGCACACGACCCATTGTAATGAAGGCAGGCAGTTTGCCCCCTCAATATTTGTTGAAAGGGGACTCAGCTTCAGTGGCTGGCTTCTCCTGAGAGTTCAGCCTCCTCCAGATATCGTCACATCATGCATTGGGGCCCCTCAATCTTGGGGGCAATTTTGTGCCTCTGCTCCTTGATGCATGGTTGGTAAACAAAATTCCCTAGATGGTACTAGACCAGCCATGTGGTGCCCAATTCCTTTAACTGTGCTTGTGAAGCCATCGCAATTAAATGACTATGAAACTAAAACAAGTACAGTGGTACCTTGGTTGTCAAATTTAATCCATTCTGGAAGTCTGTTCCAAAACCAAAGCTTTCCAAACCAAGACATGCTTTCCCATAGAAAGTAGTGCAAAATGGATTAATCCATTCCAGATTTTTAAAACAACCCCTAAAAGGGAAATTTAACATGGATTTTACTATCTAATATTGATCCATAAAATGAAAGCAATAAACAATGTACTGCAGTCACACAATCAATCAATCAATCAGTGGCTGAACAGAAACAAAACAAAAAGAGCAGCAAAAACACAAAATAAATAGCAAAAACAGACAGACCTCAGCGTAACACTCAAAAAGGAAGTGCGGCATTCAAAATGGAAGTGTGGCATTCAAATTGGAAGCATAACACTGAAATCGGAGCACGTTTGGCTTCTGAAGAAAGTTCGCAAGCCGGGACACTTACTTCCGGGTTTGCAGTGTTTGCATTGGTACAGTGGTACCTTGGTTTTCGAATGTCTCCGTTGCCGAACATTTCGGTTTCAGAACGCTGTAAACCCAGAAGTAAATGCTTTGGTTTTTGAGCACACCTCGGAAACTGAACATGCAACGAGACTTCTGCACTGAGTTTTCCGTATTGAAGCTTCCGTATTGGGTTTTTGAACATTTAGGAACTTGAACAGTCTTCTGGAATGGATTACATTCGAAAACTGAGGTGCCACTGTATATAGATAGGTAAAAGGGAAAGACAATAAAAGGGGGAAGCTTCCATCATTTTTGAAGCAAGTTGGGAAGCAGCATGAGCCCATGAAGCAGAGAAAGCTATCCACAATTAGTGAAAGGTGTGAGAAACCGCAGGGAGGAAGGAAACAAGGCGGTGGGTGGGAAGCGAGTGCGAATAAATTGCTCATCCTGCAAAGAACAAGCTGTGCAGTGAGGCAACAACTGCAACCGAAAGGAAAGGAACCTTGGAACGCAACCTCTGCTTCCTGACAGGAAACGAGGAAGCCCACAGTACGCAAGGAGTGCTCTGTTACAACATGTACTCGCATCACAACACCAAATGGAAGGTGCTTATAACCACACCAAGGCAACTGCAGTGGAAATTTATAGGATATATTCTGCTAGGTAGCCTGCATGTGAAGAGATGTAGAGACTGTAAAAGAGAGTGTGGAAGGATGTTAGGGAAATTTGCTTACTCAGGCTGTATTAAGATTGGGTCAATAATGTTTGTGCAGGAAGAACTCAGCCTTGAGCTAGCCTGATAGAAAGTAGGCGCCCTGTCCTTCTCTCTGAATGAGACATCCAGCTCTGTTAGCGCAGACATGCTTTTCCTCCAAGAACGTGACTGAATTTCTACGCATGTGTCAAGCTAAGGCAAGGGAATGCCTCTATATAAACCTGTGTAACTTATAGGCCTGGGGATTCCACTTTTGTGAGTTCCACAGTGGCTGCTGCTATGACCAAGTTTCCTTAAACACCACAGCGGGATGTTTATTGAAGAAATCCACTAAGCAACAAAGGCTTTTAAAATTTGAGGGAGTTTTTATCAGGCCTCTCATTGATCCTATCCACAAGCACCTATACTTACGTGGAAATGTACATCAGAAGAGACTGTTCTGCAATAGGACAAGGCTTCACAACAGCAAAGCTGTTTGCTGTTGTTGTTGTTTGCAACACAACTGTACAGACGTGGGGAGAGCTGAATCCCAGGCTGATCTCAAATCAGACCTAATCGCTGCTTCCTTGCCTTCAAAATTACGGTACTATTGCTTTGTAAGAATTTTATTTTTTTTAAGTTTACCCTAAGCTGAGATTTCAGATTTTGTTACAGTTACAGTTTAAAAATTAAAAGCATCACAACATACACTATAAAGCATCAACAATACTTCACAACCCCTCTCCCCAAGCCTAACAAGATTAAATCTCCCACAAAACCTTGGGACCCACTTGGCATTGGACCCCACCCTGTGAGCAATTTGCTCAGAGTACCCCCACCCGGAGCTAGGCTTCTAATCTACCCCATTTTTCACTGAGATTACCAAATATCCTTTGAAGCGCTATCTCCTTTCTCTTAAGACACTTTCTAAGTGATCCAATATATTTTTAAATTGTATTTTGGTATTTCGTTCACTGACTAAAAGGGCCCCAGAACTCTATATGAATAAATGAATAAAAGATGCCTAGCTCAGAAGAGGATGAGCAAAACCAAATTTCAAAGTGTTTAGAAAGTCAAATGCGTTTCAGTGTGGTGCACTTGTAACAACACACTGCCACCTAGTGGGTTTTCTGATAACTCTACTGTATTCATAACACATTTGTTTAGAATTCACTCCTGCTTGCCAAAGAATCCAATACAGTGGTACCTCGGGTTAAGAAACTGTTCTTAACCTGAAGCACCACTTTAGCTAATGGGGCCTCCTGCTGCTGCTGCTCCGCCGCTGCACGATTTCTGTTCTCATCCTGAAGCAAAGTTCTTAACCCGAGGTAATATTTCTGGGTTAGCGGAGTCTGTAACCTGAAGCGTATGTAACCTGAAGCGTATGTAACCCGAGGTACCACTGTACTTGGGGAAGAGGTGTGCGTGCATACATTGAGTATATTTGCTTACAGTCTGCTCAGAAATAAGTCAAACCAATAGTTTCTAATGAATATATTAATCTGCTCTTCCACAGAGTATTTGCTTATGACTACCTAGTACAGTATTTTAGGTTCCACAACAACATGAAGATATTACGAAGTGTGCTTCAAGATTAGGGCTTCATATCACAATTGGGTTGCTCCAGTCTGACTTTCCTATGTGTGCAACTGACACGGTCACTACCACACATTCTGGCCCCAACCCACCTCACCCGTCATGGCTATTTGTTGCTCTTCCACAGCTTGTGGAACTCTATAAAATGGCCCCCTTTAAAATAGCTTCACTGCTTGCCAATTTGTTTCCAGGTCTAATTCAAGGTGCTCACATTGCTGTTCAAAGCCCTAAATAACTGGGGGCCCCAAACAACTGAAAGACCATCTCCTTTCCTATTGACCCTCTAAGGTGTTAAGATCAGCAAAGGAGTCTTAGTTGAATTCCCTCGCTCCATTATGTAGTGAATAGAATGTCCCTATTTTCATGTGGAAGGTTGCAGAGCTATAGCTATGGGGGTGCTAGCCAGGTTTTTTTTGTCCTGGGTGAAGCCTCCAGAGGGGTGCCATTGAGGCTCCCAGCCTGTGTGTGCCTGCAAATGCATGTGTGTACGTGTGCCAAACTGGGTCTTTGACCCGGATGAAATAAAGCCTAGTTTTGCCCCTGAATGTTAGCGGGTATGTGATCATATGAATTGCATTTGAAATCATATAAAAGATCTATTGGCTGCATGCACTCTGCAATGGCTATTCCTATATCTGTCAGTCACTACCTGATGTGGCAACCATTTTGCCAGCAACTCTGGGTCTTAGGATTGTTTTGCGTTGTCCTGCTGTTTCATCATTTTATTCTGCTGGAATTTTAAACAGTATTTTATTTGTTTTAAATGGCACAATGCTTTGTTTCAAATGGTGTTGGAAACACCTCTGTGGTATGAAGAGTGGTCTAGAAGCTTGACAAATAAATAAAATGAGCCAGACCTAGCCATAGCCAGCCATGGCCTCATTAATAGCAAGCTCAGAGCACTAAATCACACCAGTGCTGTAGCGTCCCAAGCTTAACTCCTCTAGGGCCATTTATACCTTCCTTTAGGGATTCCAGCAACCAATTAGCAGGTTCCTCCTCCTAGAGTTCCACTGGCCAGCCAATGAGGACAGCACCCTTTCTGATTGGTCATCAAGATTAACAATTAGCAATGGCATTCATATGAACAAAAAGGACTACGTGATCCTTTGGAACAAGGAGATTGTCAATAACTGTGCCAATATCTCTTGCATGCACATGTATATGTGTATGTATATATGTGTGTATATATATATATATATATACATGTGTATATGTGTATGTGCACACTCACACTTTGCACGTACAAAGGTAAGAGTCTCATTGGTTACTCTGGCCACTTTTGCCTCAGGGCCATGTCCATCACTGGCCCACAGAGCAAGGTGATCGTTCTCTGCATAAGACATCAAATGCAGGTCTGGGGAAAATGGCAAGCACAACATACAAAGAAAAGAGGGCTTTAGGAGACCAAGTTAAAAATGTAAACTTGTTAATCAGCCAGACAGACTAACACATCACTGCAGGCAAAGAAATCCAGGACACTAATCAAGCCAGTTGAAAGGTACAGAACTTTTAAAAAAATATATTTCTTTTGAAAAACATGTTAATTCAAAAGGCTTCACAAGCGTGCACAAGAATTTTTAAATACATTGCTTTAGTATCCCTCAAAGAAACAATAACCCACAGCTTTACATTACCCAGATATCCAAACACAAACATTTAACTATCAGTATTCAGCACTCCGTTGAATATAATGTTGCCCGATAAATGGATTCTTCTTTTTAACCAATATCAGACAACATTGTATTCTCCTCTTTGTAACAGAGCTTCTTTGCCAGTCATCTCACTACATTTTCTTAACAGTAATTGAATAATACAGCTGCAACTTCCATTTAAACACCTTGAGATTTATGCAAATCCGTCATATTAAAAGTGTTGCATTTTGATTAGAAAACTGCATCCAGCCAGCGTTAGTAATGCTCGTATGATTTAGAACTGAGTCTGAAAGTTGCCCAGCCAGCCAGCTACATAATATGGTCAATCCAGGAGCCTGTTCACATGACTCCAAAGGGAGTGTGAGGAAATGCAGTTTTTAAAGAGGGTCGTTTGATATAAAGGACCACAATCCTAATCCTGGATGGAATGAGGCTGTGACTTTAACAAGCAGATGACTGGCTCAAGGTAGTTTTTCTAATTCCTCTGGCCATCACAGGTTGTGTGTATGAACAAGCTCCCAAGTTTAACACACACACCCTTCTCAAATTGCACCAGTTAAATTACCCTTTTTAAAATGTAATGGTTTAGTGTTCCAGTATCTTAGGGTTCATTCTCATACTGCATTGAGATGCTCTACAAGTGATGCAGGAGAAGTCGTGTCAGGCTTGCATTCTATACCTGTAGAATGTTGTGCATGCACACAATAACACCCCATATGTAGATGGGAAGATTACATGGAAGCAGAATACATATGACTGCATGAAAACAAGCTCCAGTTCATATAATACATTTTATGTGCACGGGAGTGTGCATGTATGTGAACACATGTTCGTGTATGTGAACACATGCGTGCAAGCCGCAGATTCTTTCCTGACCCACAATGTATGTAGCATGGACACATTGGGGCAATATCTGCACTGGACCTTTAACTGGCATTGGCTGTGTTTGAACAGAGCGCTAAACTATGGTATAAGCATTAGGTGAATGAGCCTCAGACTCATGCCCTCACCCATCCTTCAGCCATGAAGAAGAGATGGGAAGCCTTGGCTTCTCTTTCCAATTAATCAGAGTATACACATCCAAACTGTGGTTGCTCATACCATGGTTTGTTTATTGAAACAAGCCAATTTCTTAACACACAGTTTGAAATTGACATGTTTCTGTAAACCATAGTTAATACAAACCACACTCTTGTCAAGGTTCAGACCTAACACTGAACTGGGGTTGGTGAAAACAGAAGCAAAAGCTTCTGATCGCCCTATGGGTGCGCTAGAGGAACAGATGGGAGAGAAGCATGCAAGCTTGAGACACCACACTGGAACACAGCTATTACGTATCTGTAAAAGGACGAAGGGTTCTTGAAGTCAGGTTTGCAGGTATACTATATGAAAATATGGACTATCACATTAGTTATTTATCTCCTGTGACAAGAACAGAGATAAAACTCTATAGCAAAGGTCTGTCATAATCACATCAGCATGAATCTTCTCTATTTTCTACTGATTACCTACAGCATGTTTTACCTATATTAACTTATTATCAAGGAAAGGATGGCCAGATGCATTAAAAACTCTACATAACTTTATTAGGATGCAAATACATTCCTCTTTCTTTTTACCTCTGCTAACTATTTAGGAAAAAAGCCGAAAACCAAAAAGGGTTGCTCCGATGCAATCCTAGCAGCCTACTTTATAGTTCCACCATGAGAATTTGGTCCTCCCAAGAAAGTAAATAAAACGTTTTAGAAAGAAGAGGGAGGGGAAACAGACCAATCCGTACTAGCCAGGTGCTCTGAAATCCACACTAAAAAGTCTCAGGTCCTACACAAAGGGAAACTTTTGAGCTGAAATCAGTTTTGAAAGTTGAGACATCAAAGTGCTTTTGTTCAACTTTCAAAATTGGTACTCTACTGCAATTCTCCCAATTCCTGGTAGCAGAACTTATCAACCTGTTTTTCAAGTTGCCCCCTCCACATTTATGGGCTAAAATACTTCCTCATTTTAAAAGAAAACAAGAAACCTATAATATTGTAATTATGTAGATAATATCTCAGATTTCATATTAGAGGTCAGATTTTGTAGTTTCCGGGGGATGAGTGATTACTCAAGTCCCTGCTCAAAGGGCTTCTCAGCTTTTGGGACTGCCCTAAATTTCACAAAAATGCTGATGGCAATAAACTGTGGTACTTATCTTGAACTCTCTGCCATCAATATATTTTACTTATGTATAAGTGGAGCTATTGCACCTAGAGAGCCCAGAATCAAGTGTCAAGAAGGACTCTGCAAAATATAAGCTGTAAGGAATATGAGAGGTAACCTGCATTTCTAGAAGATGCATTTAATTACGAAAAATCCACACACAGATTATAAATCTTCTGTACAGGGGGTCAAGGAAATATTTCTCATTCTCCAGAAGGAATTGAAAACAAAACGGGACTCTTCCTGACCTTCAAGATACTGCTTGCTCCTCTTTGGGCACAGTCTATAAAAGGAAAGAAAGCAGCATTAGATCAGGACTTTAAAAGACAGGGAATTGCCTGGGGGAGAAAGATCACCAAGAAGCTGAACTGTTCCCAACTTTGAAAAAGTATTCCCTTTAATATCTTTTTAAATAGCAGTGGGGGAGAAGGCTAAAGAGCAGCAGAGGGCCACTGGCCAGGATAGATTTCCAAAACAAGAATTAAATGATTAAGTGCGAATACGGGAGGAAGGTATCCTGCTCAGACCCTGTTAGCAGACATGCTGAACTAATTGTTAATCATCTAGTATTGCTTAATCTGTAACTTCTCATTGAGAAACCCTGGATCCCAGGATTCTGAACCTCACTTATGGATAATTAGCTGTGCATCATTTTCACTCCCCAAGACCTGGAAACCTATTTTTAAAATGATATAAGTGTGGACAGTAATGTACAGGTCTTATGTTGAAAACCCTGAAGCAGCCTCCTATTATTTTCTGGACCAATTAAAAGCTGTTACAAACTTTGCATGGCCAAGGCTTTGAGAAATAATGCCCTATAGAAAGATCCCAGAAGACGGAAGCCACACATCTTTTCAGAGAAAACAATGCTGTATTAGCATTTATCAACAGGCAAGGCAACATCAGGAATGAGAAGGAAGAAACAGAAGGGAATGACCCAAATTACAGATGGCTGGATTGCTTTTGTCAATATTTGGACTTTTCCTCTAAGGAATTCAGGGGCTCCAAGGAACTACATGGGACTTACTGTTACTGTGCTCTGCACCTTGCATCGATCTGATGAGCATACTCCTCCCAGAGCCAATCAGTTGCGTGGCTCAATGGGATGTTGACATGCTGGCAGGAGGGGTTTAAAACTACTCATCTCTACATGCTAAGAGAAGAGAGGGTGAATGAGTGTGGAGAAGGCAGTGTGGCCACAAACTCACAAGGTCCTATGACCCCAAAAGGGTGTGCCCTCCTGCCTCACCGAATAGGAAAGGAGGTGTGGGAAAAGTCAAGGACGAGCACTGGGAGATGTACAGAAAGACTTGTTGTCTTTCTCAAGGTGGTCATTAAGCCACAGGCCTTGAGGAAACAATTCTCCTTTCTCCACATGGTTCCAGGTGCCCGGCAAACTACAGAACAGGGCACATTAAAGATCCTGTACTTAACTTTCTCAGAAGGATAAGGCAGAGGAAAAATTGTGAAGTAATGTACCTTTGAAGCTCAGAACAAACTCTCTTTCCAGTAATGGAAGAGCCAGATCATACTGTGATTTAGACTGAATTCAAAAAGCCTGCCAATATCTGGGCCACAATGAATTCAAGGAATGCAAAATCAATTGATAAGCACCAAAATACACTCTGGGAAGCAGGAGAAATGGCCATGCAAACAAAATCTCAAGTACCTGACGCAGCAGCTGCCTGCCTAGGTAAGAGGTCGCCACACTGGTCAGGTTCTTCCTGCTGCCTACTTTGCACCGGATATAGCCATACAGATTGGCCCCTTGCAATGTCACACCCATTATCACTATCGCCTGTGGAGAGAGATGACAAAGACTTGTAACGGAATTTAGGTCTCATTACACTCAGAGGAACAAGTTCAGTCAGATATTTGCCAAGCAGGCCACTCACCAGCCACTTAACTTTGAAAGAAAACAGGGCGCTGAAGGCAAAAATCACCCAGAGCAAAGGGCAGCTGATAAGCCCTAGCCAGAAGATTCTGGACTCTGCTTCTGATGTTGTTTTCTTCGTCTGAGCAGATGCCTAATAATTTGGAGAGAAATACAGAAGTTTTCTTTTTTAACGTGGCTTACCAAATGTAATGCTCTGAACCAGCAGGACCTAAAAATTGCACTGGCAAGTCATACAGGAAGAACACTTAACTGCATTTTTACAACCATGTTTCCTACTGAGAAAAATATATTTCAGCCTGTTATTTTAGAAGGGGGGAAAAAAGAGCCACCTAATCGGAATACCAAGAATTTCCACCACCTTAAGCCACAAACCATCACCCCAACATTTCCAGGCATGGCACAATGCCATGACACAATAGCCTCTTTATAAAGCTTCTAAAAATTGGGAGCACTGACCTTGGACATACAATAGCCTGAAAAAAAGATCATTCAGCAAACTGAACTAAACCATCCCAATGAAAAGCAGCTGAGGTATTTTTTAAGTAACAGAATGTGATATTTTAATTGCATACAGCAAAATAAAGGATCAAACCAAAGTAGTTTTTGAGCAGTGCTGCATATACTGAAAATGAGTGTTAGTCGAATAATGATGAGAGGTGTTCCACTACTAGCCAACTAAAATCAATGAATTCTTCTATAAATAATGGGGAAGGAAAGCATGCCACAACTGGAAATAGTATCTCAGAGTAGCCATAGTGGAGGTGAAGGTTATTTTATCTTTGGAATGCTCATTATTCCTATCATTTTAAAGGCCTGTACAGATGTAACAGGGCTTGAATCCCACATATGATTACTGGATCAAGACCAAGCTCTAGGATGTTTGCTTCCTGCCACAAGGCTTCTCCTTTTCCATATGGATTTCCATTGTAAGACTTCACAATAATTAAAAGTTACATTTCAATAATTAAAAGTTACATGTCAACTTTTTAATAGTAACCAGGGTATTCTGCTATCCAGGCTCTGAAACCACTTAATGAAATCTGGTTAGTACAAAACAGTTAACATCACTGTTCATATAGCTTGTATAAATATAGTTTGGTATTTATGTGCCTAACTGTAAATACTCTATTCCAAGTTCAGTAATATAATCTGTGTTCTTTCGCTGTGAAATTAATGACATGTCTTTGCAGCGTTGTCTCTAAAGCAGAGGATAGGGAAAGCCAGATTTCAAACCCACTAACTGTTGCTCCAGTTCAATCTGTCTTATGTCCCCCAAATGGCATATTGAATGAAAGATGTCTACAGCCCTGGAAAACAACACCATATACCACCAACTGCAGACTTCCCTCAAGGACTGGGAGAACTTTACCTTCCTGGCTTCAAACACCCAGTGGCTTTTGCCGTCATCATCAACTTGGTTCCACCAGCGGAGGCCGACCATCAACCTCCCTGTGACATTCTAGAGAGAGAAATACGAGATTACTCCATGGGATAAGTGAAGGCAGGAATGAATTGATTCCTCCCATTACATAGCAGCCTGCCTGGTGGCCTTGGATGCTTCTGAATGTGCCTGGGATTTGCAGAACCGTGGTAAACCAGAGACATCTCATGCCCTAGAGGGGACTGCAGTCTGAAAAAGGGGGTCTATTTATCTTTTTGTATTCCTTCCCACCAAATGGCTTTACATGGGTGGTATGTAGGGTGCAACTCCATCACAGATGCTGAGTTCTACTCAAGAGGGGTCTAGATGCCTCTCTGCATGAGACCAGCTAGTTACAATCATCCCTAGAAATGGCTGGATCTCAATTCATGTTGGCAGCCAGTGTGGTGTAGTCGTGAGTGTGTCACACTAGGACTAGGGATACCCTGGGTTTAATCAATACCCTACCCCCCCACGCTTTCAAAAGGAAGCTTGTTCAGAGGTTAAATGTACTCTGCACATACCTAGAGGTATGAGAGTACAGTGGTGCCTCGCAAGACGAAATTAATTCGTTCCGCGAGTTTTTTCGTCTTGCGGTTTCTTTCGTCTTGCGAAGCACGGTGTCGGAAAAGCTTTGGAAAAGCTTCAAAAATCACCAAAGTCTTCAAAAACCTCAAAAAAGGCTACCACACCGCGTGCTACGAGTTGCTCCTCGAAGTCAAGTTGCAACTGTATTAACGGTTTTAAGAAAAAGGAAACAAACTTGCAAGACGTTTCCGTCGTGCGAAGCAAGCCCATAGGGGAAATCGTCTTGCGAAGCAACTCAAAAAACCAAAAACCCTTTCGTTTTGAGAGTTTTCCGTCTTGCGAGGCATTCGTCTTGCGAGGTACCACTGTACATGCAAAAACACTTGCTTACTTTTACTACTGAAGTTAAGGAATTTAGAAGAGAGAATTCTAACTCAAAATCTAAAAACTTGGCCAATCTGCCCACTCTCCTTTGAGAACAGCCATTTTATAGCACCAACAAACTCTCAACAGTATTTACCTTCACTGCCCAAAAGTCACATGACAGAAGTAGGATGATCGTCACCATGCAGGCAATATAGCTGCTGCTTAACAATTCACAGAGTAAGTAGACGATTATTGCACTGACCCGGAAAAACAAGTGAAAGAAGGAGGCTATCGGATGTCTGTAAAAGGCACATGTAGACAATAATTTAGTAATTCATTTATCTGTTCACTCTATCCAAATCAAAAGGCCTAGCAAGGGTTACAGTTTCAATCATAATTCCATGTTATGGCACTTCATAAAGACAGAAGTAATTATAAAAACCAACTAATTAATTACCATAGCATAATCAGTGTGGGCAGACAGAAAGCGTCAATCTTTAGCTTGTGAGATAGACCTCTCTAACAGCACTTCCTTGCAAAGTTTGCTAAGAATACAGGGTCAGGTAAACATTGCAGTTCAGAAGCATACATCTATTTCCTTCTAAAATAATAATTTGCATGCACAGGTGAATCATTCGGATGGAACCTATCCAGAGCTTTGTCAAACACTTTCAGACACCAGAAGACTGGCCTGGAGCAGTTCTGTGCTTAATGATATATTGTGCATTCAATGCTATGCATATGTCAAATCCATTAACTCTGGATCAATTTTTCTTTGCTCGCTCTGAACCAGGGAATTTCAAAGCCACCTTAGCATGCCAGCATCTGTAAATGCTCCAAACCAGGTTTCTTGCACCTGGATAAGAACATAAACACACCCTTTGTGACAGACAGTATAAATAAACCATAGTGGCAACAATGAATTGGCAAGCAAATGCTGAGTTGTCTGGAAAGCTATCCACCGTAGCATTTTGCATTTTATTTTTAGCCTCCAAAAGTCTTTGGTCGATAAGGTTTTATTTATTTGCAAATAATCTGATATACCACCAATGGATATAGAGGTAATGCAGAACAATATCTGCGATAAAACTTAAAACAAAGTGGATGGCATGTAACATTGGGGGGCTGTTCCATGAAGGGAAGGGCCATATCTCAGTAGCAGAGCAGAAGGTCCAAGGTTTCATCATCAGCATCTCCAGGTAGAGCTGAAAGAGACCACTGTCTGAAATCCCACAGAGCCAGTGTTGACAATAGTGAGCTGAATGGACCACTTGTCTGACTTACTACAAGAGAGCTTCCTATCCAGTGCTGCAGCCACAATTCCCTACCGTGTCCCTACCGTGCAAGAGACCCCCAACTGTGATTCCATATGCATCCACAGGTCTTAGTACCTACATGGCAGTTAAGGCAATCAAACTCCTGCTGTGATCCAATTTACATGGTCCCCAGCACAAACATAGGGCATGGGGTTGGGTCACAAGATCTCCTCCATTTCATATAATCCTGGTCTATTTCCAGAATAGCACCACAGTGCCATTTCCTAAAAGTATATGGGAAGGTTTTCGAGAGCCATTAGAATGGAAGCCCTTGCCCAGCTTGACTGGATTTCTCTATGGTTGATTCCTTACCAAAATATATCAAAAATACTTCTTACTAGATACAGACAGTATGGTTGATTCCTTACCAAAATATATCAAAAATACTTACTAGATACAGACTCTATATATATATATGATGTGACTTATTTTGACCCATACAGAACTAGAATATAAAGCATGTAAAACTTAAATATATATATCATATGATATTCAAGACAGAAATCCTACAAGAAAGTTATTCAGTAAAGCATACAAGAAAGCCAGTGCCAGAGCTTTTCTTTTCCCCAACAGACAGACACAAGAAATGGCAGGTATTGTACCAAAGAGACGGCAGCCCAAGACAATTCTAGCAATTACTTACTTGATCTTTGATTTCTTCGGCCTCCTGGAGGTTTCATCATCAGCATCAAAGAGTGACACATCTTCTGTGTCATCACTACTGTCCTGGACAAGCACATGGGCAAGGGTTAGAAAAGACAGCATCAGTGGTGAGATTACATAAAATCATTGAGTTGTAGAGTTGGAAGGGTCATCTAGTCTAACCCCCTGCAATGCAGGAATCCTGCCACAGCCATCCCTTGGTAGGCTTGAACCCCCAACCTTCTGGCTAACAGTCAGACGCACTGACCACAGGAGGGCAGCTTATGCAGTCAGACAATACATTCTGAACACTTTATCTGATCTCTGTTTTCTTGAGACATTATAGAACATAACAAATTATTTCAGAGAACAGTAATGACTTCAATTGCATAAACATCCTTTTCCTTAGATAATGTAGTTGTCAGTTATCTATTTTTTTCTGGCCACTTGTTTCAGATCCAAAATATGTGGGGGTTTTTAAGGCATTTTTAAAACCCTCAGCATTTTGTAAATTTCTGCAAATGCCTGAAAAAGTCAAATGATATTTTAATATTTTCTCATCTTAAAGAGCCATTCAAAGTGGTCTTTCATACAGTTTCATTTTCAGGGGCATTAATTATTATAAACAGGCACTTTGCACAGAAAGAACCCAATCATTTGGGAGAATGCCAAGACAATTAATTGGAAAGAAAATTTGCCACTTAATATGTTTGCTGCCTTCGGGTCCCTGTCAGGGAAAAAGGTGGGCTATGAATAAATAAATAATAAAAATATACAAATAAAAATATGCTTACTCAGAAATAAGTAGCACAAAGGTAAATGAAACTGACTCCTATGTGTGCACAAGGAATACAGCAGTCAAAGTGTGTTGTGGTGGCAACTTATTTCTTTGTTTGTTTGTTTGTTGATTGAATTGATATACTGCCCTAAACTCGAAGGTCTCAGGGCGGTTCACAGAACAAAATCAGAATATACAAACACAAAATATATAACCAAAATAAAAACAACCACCCAACCCCCAACCCCCCATAACTTGGAATCATGTTAGTTTACTACGGCCGAAAAAAGTTCACAGCCATCGCTACTCTTCATTTTGACACAGAGTGTTTTCTTCTAATGATGCCTAACTTCTAAGGTTTGGGAAACCCTAAAGAAATGTGATGCATATAAAGCAAATGCAAAAGAAACGAAGAGGGATAAAAGAATACCAGGTGCGAAGAAAGCAACATTTTTTTCCAAACAAACAAGCCCTTAGCTTTGTGCATAGAGGAAAGGAGGTCGGTGGGGAGGCTCATCCCGCTGCCCGCCCCTTCTTCCTCTGTAAGCAACGCAGCCCCCCAAGTCATGCAGCCCCAGACAGCGACCCCACCTGCGACCCACTTTCCCCCGCGGGCCTCCAGCCATCTAGCCCCTCCCCCGGGCCCTCCCCCAACTCGCGCCCCCTCAAGGGCTCCCTCTGACCCGCCCCGCTCGCAAGGAAACCGAGTCACCCACCCGCTGTCCCCCACATCCCCACCTGCCGCAACATCGCTTCCGCCTTCTGCCACGTCACAATGCCGCCCAGCGGGCGAAACCCGACACGCCGTCGCCCTGCGACCGACGCGCGCGATTAGTTAGAACTAGAAAAAATACAAGAGCGACCCGCTTCTTGAACTTCCGGGAGTAAAAAACAGCAACGAAGAGCATCCGTTTTGGACGACAGATAAAAGAACAGAGAGGCACATCTCTGAATTTCCGCATTTTCATCGGCAGCTGTTTTAAATGTGTCCTAAGGCGGCGCGGAGAATATCAGGTGTCTTCGCCGGCGTATTGGGGACTGAGCTGCTACAGCGGGACGTCCACCCAAAAACGAAAGGAAGCGGCAGGAGGGACGGGAGACTGTACTTTTCCCATCTCACGGCTTATTTCGTGTGTTTTAATGCCGTTGCATGTGAATCCGTATGCCAAATATATATAGCCGCTTATTGCAAAGGGAAGCAATGGTGCTGAGAGAATGGCTCACAATATTTTCCACCACCACTCCACTCCTCCTAAGATACTGTTCATATATACAAGGAGAGACCAGTCACCCTATATTGTCCCCTCAGGACCCCTCCAAACCCAAATCCAGGTGTTAGGTGCATGCAGAAGCCTTGCCCTTCCATGGCTTCAGATGTTGACAAGCTTGTTTTTTATTGCTACCTGCCTGTTCATTCACTGTGAGCAACATTAAAATCTTGAATTTCTCAGTTGATTTCTACAGGCTGCAGTCAGTTGTGCCTCAGTCAGTGCCGGATGTACATATAAGCTAAGCAAGCTATAGCTTAGGGCCCTGCCAAAAAAATTAAAGGGAAAAAAACACACCTGGATGTACATTTCCAAAATATAAGATATAAAACCAAATAAAATAAAACCTACATACAGCAACAGTGGCAAATGGCTTTAGATAACTATATTAGGTCCATAAATAACCACATAGCATATATTCAACATAAAAACCAGCAACAACTTCTTGTTGACAAAGGACAGGTGGACATATAAAGGGCCCCATTACCTTCAGTAGCTTAGGGCCTCATCAAACCTAAATCCGGCCCTGGCCTCAGTGGAGATCTCACCTGTCCTAACCCCAAGTTGGTTGTCACCAATGGAAGCGAAGGCACAGAAAAAACTCAATATGGAGGCCAAATGGCCGAAATATTGGGAAATTCTGGAACAAGATGGAGACAGATTAAAATTGCAGAGCTTTGAAAAATTGAAAAACAAAGTGCGAGATTGGCTCCATTATTATCAAATAATGGAGGGATACAATTTGGACAAAAAAGTTGGTTTCCAGGTGGAAAAATCAAAATTGGAAACAGAATTGTTAGATTCAAAAATTAAGAATCTGTCAAAAATGTACAACTTGCTGTTGAAATGGAACACTCAGGATGAAACGGTGAAATCAGCTATGATTAAATGGGCACAAGATATTGGACATAACATAATGATGGCTGACTGGGAACAGTTATGGACCACAGGTATGAAATTTACGGCATGTAATGCCTTAAGAGAAAACTTAATGAAAATGGGGCTTCCGGGGAGGCGCCTCCGGTAATGGCGGAATTCCTCTGACCGGGAGGAATCTGCTCCGTGGAAATCTGGGTCTGTCCGCCACGGCGAAGGCGGAGACCCGTTAAAATCACAGGCGGGAGAAGCCTGTGAGCGTGGGATTCGGGGGGCACCTTTTGCGCCTCCCCCACTTGCGGGGAATCCCAGTTTTTGGGGCTCCGGAGCGACGTGGGGTGAGCGGCGCGGTGCATCGAATCGTCTGCTTCTTCCACGGAGCGAAGCCGCATAGCTGTTGCTGGAGAGCGCTGACCTTTTCCTGTGGACAATTTGACTTTAAAGCAGTTACCCGTGAGTAGAGCTGAAGTGGAAGAATTGGATTTCTAAATGTTTAATTTGGTATCGTAACAGGGAGGTTCAAAACAGGAAGTCCGCCTTCCCCTTTTGTAAATAGACTGAGGCAATGAAGTTGCAAGCTGGAGTCCTGGAAAGTCTTTCGTAAAAGATTAAATTTCCATTGGTAAAGAACATTAAACCCCCTCTTGGAGGCAGGAGACGAGAGGGGGAAGTTGTGGATTGAGTATGCCTGCGGGAGAGAGCGAAGAGATTTAAAACACCGCCGCTCTGACCCTGGAAACGGGCTGCCAGTAGGACTGACGTCTTTTGGAATGTTCATTGACAGCGTTTAGAACGTTCATTGACAGCTAGTTAAACAAGAGAAATACGTTGTTTCTACTGTCTCCGGCTGCTTTAAAAAGGAGTAAAAGTAACTGAAAATTGAAACTAATTTGAAACTAATTTTGGATTGTTTAAAAGAGGATACTATTGACTATTACAAATAGAAACTGTTTCCCCCTAGTAGAAGCCTTTGAAACTGGTTGCGTTACAAGAGCTGGGCTAGGGAAATTTCCAGCTGCAAGTTAAAAACCGTGAGACTCTGGGACTGACCTTGAATCTTTTAAATGTTATGGTAAATGGAAGAGGAAAAACAGACCAGTCAACTGCTGACAAAACATTAAGGTCTGGGAGGACTTGGCAACAAATCAGGAGATGCCCATCATCAGGCTCCCCTGCTTCTTTTGTTGCAGCCTTTGTACCCGTATATGTAAAACCAAGAGGAATGTCGACAGAAGAGGCTTTAGTGGCTGCATTATATAAGATACATGACTCATTGGATCAGCTTAACAGGAAAATGGACACGATAAATGCGAAAGTGGATGTTTCAACTATTAAAATTAACTTAATTACAGAAAGTATAAATAATACCAATACAGAAACCACCCAGAAATTGATACAGGAACCTACTTTGATACGGCAAACTGCGGAGGAAGCCAGGGAAAAAGCTGTTGTTGTTGAATGTAAAGTAACACAACTGGAGAAAAAGAGAAAGAGAGCCCCAGCCCTACAGAGGCAATTTGATGAACATAAGTTGACGCCTGCTATGACTGAACTTAAAGAAAAACAGACGAATTTGAGGATTAGAGTTCACCTTTGGTGGACATGCCCAAGGATTAAGACACTTTGGGAGATGATTCATAATGAAATGAAAAAGGTATTTAAATATACCCTTTTGAAGAAACCAGAGGCCTTTCTCCTGGGCATGGTCAGCCAATTGGTGTTAAAGAAGGATAGAACCTGTTTCACGTATGCAACAACAACAGCAAGAATACTCATTGTGAAGTACTGGAAGACACAAGATTTATCTATTCGGGAAGAATGGCAGATGAAGTTGATGGACTATATGGAATTGGCGGAAACGACTGGCAGAAATCCGAGACCAGGGAGAAGAGTCGGTGGAAGAAGACTGGAAAAGTTTAAGACTATTTATAGAAATACTGTAAAAATAATGAATGTTAGAAAAATGTTGGAATGAAGTTATATGGCTTTAGTAGAAATGCTATAAGGAATTAAGTATAAATAGATTAATAGAGTATTAAAGGGAAAAATTAGGTTAGAATATGTTAAGATAATTATAGGATAGAAAACAGAGGAAGATGGAAAGGAATTGCTGAAATAATTAACAGAAGTGGAACACAAAAAGGGAGGTGTGAGGAGGTCGTGGAAATAAGGGAATGAAAGTTAAGATATTGAAATTGTTTTCCGTTTTAAATGCTTTGTGTCTTGTTTTGTTAGTCTTATGCTTTTTTGTTGTTTTTTGTTGTTGTTTTTGTTTTTCTGTTTTGTTGTGTTTAAACAGTTGGAAAATTAATAAATATTATTAAAAAACAAAGAAAAAAGAAAATGATTTATAGGTGGTACATGACACCAGTCAAGCTTGCAAAAATTTACCATTTGCCCGACAATAAATGTTGGATATGCAACAAGACTGTAGGCACATTCTTTCCCCTTGGGTGGACATGCCCAAGGATTAAGACATTCTGGGAGATGATTTATAACGAAATGAAAAAGATATTTAAATATACCTTTCTGAAGAAACCAGAGGCCTTTCTCCTGGGCATGGCCGGCCAATTGGTGTCAAAGAAGGATAGAACTTTCTTTATGTATGCAACAACAGCAGCAAGGATACTCATCGCAAAATATTGGAAGACACAAGATTTACCCACCCGGGAAGAATGGCAGATGAAGTTGATGGACTACATGGAACTGGCGGAAATGACTGGCAGAATCCGAGACCAGGGAGAAGAGTTGGTGGAAGAAGATTGGAAAAAATTCAAAGACTATTTAAAGAAATACTGTAAAATTAATGAATGTTAGAAAAATGTTGGAATGAAGTTATATGGCTTTAGTAGAAATGTTATAAGGAATTAAGTATAGATAGATGTAATGGAATTAGGGGTTGCTCGTGCGTAAGTTGCCGCCACTGCTGGCGAGGTTACCTGGTTAAACCCTTTTCCTCAACCCCCCCATGGTTTTCTCTTCCGTCTCAGAGTTCCCTGATTTTAGTTTGAGCGAACACGTCGTTTCTAGTAAGCCCGGCCAGTTCTCGTTTCCCAACCAAGGCTCCCCCACACACCCATCAGTCCTCGGGGATCATGTGTCGTATCTCCGGCGGTCCCTCTCCTTCCATGTACTCCGGTTTCCGGGAGAGAGCATCTGCTCTTACGTTTTCCTCTCCCGGCACGTATCAGATCTCGAAGGAAAACTTGGAGAACTCCTGTGCCCATCGAATCTGTCTCTGGTTGAGTACTCGCGCGGTCCTCCAGTATTCCAAGTTCTTGTGATCAGTACAAACCTGGATCTTGTGCTGCGCCCCTATTAACAGATGTCTCCATCGGCGAAACGCCGCATAGATCGCAAGCAGTTCGCGGTCATACACCGTATAGTTTTGCTCCGACTTGCTCAACTTCCTCGAGAAAAGGCACACGGCTTCCATTCCTGCTTGCTCCTCCCTGGCTGCAAAAGTACCGCCCCAATGGCTCTGTCGGACGCGTCGGTCTCTAGCCTCATGGGTTTCTCCAGATCAACGTGCAGGAGCTGCTCTTCCGAAACGAACGCCTTCTTCAGTCTTTCAAAGGATTGCTGGGCACTTTCTGTCCAGGTGAACTTCCTTTTGCTACTGAGACAATCTGTGATGGGCGCCGTTAAGTGGGCGAAGTTCTTGATGAACTTC